CAGTGTGACGCGCGCCGCCCAGCGCCGAACGTGCCGGAGCCGGTCCGGCGCGCGCGCGCGCGCGGGCGGCCAGCGCCTGTTAACAGACAGCCGTGCCGCCCGCACGTTCAAAGAAAAGGAAAGATCCACGCAAAACTAAAAGAAACAAAGAAAAAAGAACCCAACGGACAAAGAAAGAAAAGAAAGAAAGAAAACAGACACGCCAAACGAGGGATGGGACGAGGACAGGGTCCCCACCTGCACGAGCAGGATTTTGGAAGGACGATCAGGGGCACAGGTGGGGCTCTCCTGCTCCTGACAAGGGACACGACAGGCTCGCAGCGCGGTGCACGGTGGACTCCCAACTCCACTGGCGGTCTCATCTCAGTCTAGCGACCTGCCTCCAGCTTGTCGCTGGCAGTCTCTCGTACCACAGGCACACTGACACAGGGGTGGCAGGGGCGGCGGCACGAGTCTCCCACATACTATGCGGGCCTCACTAGAGGTGCGGCCTGGGTGCGTGTCCTCGCCCTTGAGGGGGGAGGGGAAGGGGCTGTGTGTCTGTGCATGTGTGTGTGTGTGTGTGTGTGTGTGTGTGTGTGTGTGTGTGTGTGTGTGTGTGTGTGTGTGTGTGTGTGCGTGTGTGTGCGTGTGCGAGCCGCCCTGAACGCCACGAGCGCGCCGCGAGCGCCGTAGCGCCGGCGAGCGCCGTCGGCAGCGCGCGACCGCCACCCAAAAGCGGAGGTACATTAGGAGCCGCAGCCGGCCTGCTCTATCAGCCCCGCAGCCGCGGTGGCGCGACCGGACCGCGGACATGTTGCCGATGAACATCGAGAAAATTCTTTTCCGTGTCGTTCTGGGAACCATACGCCGGGCAGCCTCGCGGGGCGCCGCGCATCGCGCCTCCACTCAAGGATTCGCACGATGCGCATCGTCGGCCTCACTGGCGGCATCGCCTGCGGCAAGTCCGCCGTCTCGACGGCGGCGGCCAGTTGGGGCCTCCGCGTCATCGACATGGACGAGATTGCTCGCCGCGTGGTCTGCCCCGGCCTGCCCGCCTACACGGACATCGTCGCAGCATTTGGCGACGGCGCGCTCCTCCCCAGCGGCGAGCTCAACCGCACCGAGGTCGGAAGGATCGCATTTTCCGACCGCGAGAAGCGGCGCGCTCTCAACGCGGCGACCCACCGCCCGATGCTGATGCAGCTCCTCGCGGAGCTCGCCGCTGCGCTCTTTGGCGGCGAGGCGGCCGTCCTGATCGACGCGCCGCTCCTCTTCGAGACATCGCTCCACTGGCTCTGCTGCACAACGCTTGTCGTCGCTGTCGCCGAGGCGACCCAGCCGGAGCGGCTGCGATAAGCAGTATGTGTCAGACTAAATCATTATGATATCATAGGCGACCCAGCTGGAGAGGCTGCGAGCGCGCGACGGCTTCAGCGCGGAGGAGGCGGAGAAGCGGATTGCGGCGCAGATGCCGCTCGCGGAGAAGTGCGCTCGTGCCGACGCCGTGATTGACAACGAGGGGACTCGAGATGAGTTGGCGGCGAGGGCGGCGACGATCCTCGACGCCGCCGGCGCCATCGCCGGCCAGACACCCTAGAAGCGCAAATGAATCGTGTTCTTGTATTCCAACCAGCGCTCGAGAGGGCACACGCATTCCACCGTATTCAGCTGTAACCCACTGTAGTTGTGTCGCTTGTATTCTGGACGACTCTGCATGAGACCGTCTTCTCGCCCTCATGTTGGTGCACCCAGGCGGGCTACCGTGGTGGGCGAGGCTGCCGCGGACGCGGGTGCTGCTCCTCGACCCGCTGCTGTGGCTGCTTCTCGCGGCGCTGCGGCTGTGCGGCGAGGAGGCCCAGATGCGGAGACACGTGTCCTTGTGAAAAGAGACATCGCTGCGGGCGCACAGCTGCGCAGCACACACCAGGGCGACACGACACACTCCACGCCATGCCGGGGGCGCACACGGCGGCAGACGGCAACCTGTAGACACGGATCCGTCTGAACTCCGTCTGTACTCCGCCGTCTTCGGCTGCAGTCAGTCAGTCAGTCAGTCAGTCAGTCTACGCCCTAGCACGGACGGCGGGGCACACGCACTCGCGGAACACACATCACATCTTCGGCTGCACTCCGTCGTATTCCTTGTACTCGCAGCCTCCGCACTCACGCTGCGCTCTGAGCACACGGCACCATACTTGTACGTCCCCCGCTGGAACCGTGTGTCTGGCATGATGGCGTAGGCGTGGAGCCGCTGCCGCACGCGGGAGAGGCGACAAAGTCATGACGTCGAATGACGCCGGCGCTACTTGCCTGCTGCCTCTGCTGCCTGCTGCCTCTGCCTGCCGGTGGGTGCGCGCCACCACTCTCACCGTGGTCCCGCGCGCAGCGCGCGGAGGTAAGGCCGCCACGCGCGAGTCTGGGGAGGGGGAAACCAGGGCGTGTCCGCAGTTTGGGTCTCAGTTGTGTGTGTATGTTCTCTGTGTGTGTGACCTCTGTGTGCGTTCTTTAGCGACCAAGGGGCAAAATCCAAAAAACTGTTATAGGCAAAAACACATATATGCACGTGCAGTAACACCATATTTAACTCACGCCGCAGCAGGCGTTGGAGCGGTCCTTAGAAGAGGAGAAAGAAGAGGAGAGGCGCCAGTGATGACGAAACAGAAGCTAGTGCAGACGAGGGCAGGGCAGACCCGGGGACGGCGGAGGCGGACCAGACGGCATCGACCGCCGAGGGAACGTTGGGAAGAGGCACGAGGAGGGCGGCGACCTCAACCGACTATGGAGGACCCGTCACCAGACGACGCAGGGCGGACGACGGGGAGGCGGAGCAGACGCGCAGGGCGAGACGAGGGAGGGAGCAGGACGTTGCGGAGATCAGCAGGAGGATGTACGAAGAGATTAGGAGCAGCAGGGACCCGAGGGACCATGTGGAAGACGGCTAGTGCTAGTCCCCCATCGGGAGGACGACCCCGGCTAGTCGCCGACCACACCCACAAAGAACCCTGCACAAAGACCGCAGGGCGGGGACCTGTTCCTTTTTACCCATCTCCTAGTAGAGGTGTCCGTTTTATTTATTTATTTATTTGGAGCGGTCCTTGCCCTCGCATGCGGCACTCTTGTATGCTGCACTCTTGCTTCTGCGTGTACTCCATCGACGCCGTGTGACACTGCGCCGCGTCCACCTTCTAGCACTGTAGCAAGGGGCAGATATGTGCCCATGGGCATCCCTCAATGGGGTTTCGCGTGATAACCGCACTGTCGCAGGAGGTGAGGCACGAGGACGCCCATGAGGACCGGTGGCCTGACCTACATCGAGAGGCTTCACCTATTATTCTCCTTCTCTCTCTCTCCTTCCCTCGCTCTCTCTCTCTCTCTCATTCCAGAGTGATGAATAGTCCGCCGTGTCCCCATATCCCTATATTCCCACACCCTGCGCAGTGGCACGTCGTTGACACCCAGACCCCTAATATTGGACATCTTGGGCACGTCACCTGAGCCCTGGTCTGACAGCCTGACAGCAACCCCCGGACAGCGCCTGACAGTGCCCGACAGCCTGACAGCGCTGACAGCACTTTCTCTGACAGTCTGACAGCACGTGTCTGACAGCCTGACAGCAGAGTCTGGCAGGCGAGGGGTTCCGTCGCTGTCAGGCCCTAACGTGACAGCCTGACAGCTGCCTGACAGCCCGACAGCACACAGTGGCCTGACAGCAGCGCTGACAGCCTGACAGCCCGACAGCAGCACAGACCGTACACAGACCCCATAGAGCCTCTTTTTTGTGCCCCATTGAGGGTATAACAAAGTTACATGCAAAGACATGTGAGTGTGGTCCATGTCCATGTAGTCATGGGATGGTCATGGGTCTCTCTCTCAACCCTCCCGCCCGCCACCTCTGCGGACCCCTCTCTAGCACCGGCGGCTGTGCTACTACAAATGAAGCTACAAGCTGACGAGCGACAACGATGGGGAGGCCTTCCGCTGGACCAGCAACTACCAGATCATCAGCAAGGTGTACCTGAAGAAGCACTCCACCCTGCCTCTCTGCTATTCTCTCAGTGCGGCAGACAAGAAGATGGGTGACGTCCACTCGTCCACCATGAAAAAGATGGTGGGACCGGAGGCAGAGTAGAGGCTAGAGTATGTATGTGTAGTAGAGTCCTGCTGGTCTCCTCTTGATAGTGTCATAAGTGTGGCTGGTGTGTGTCAGAGCCTGACAGCACCCCGACAGCACCACCTGACAGCACCTGACAGCAACAGCCCACCGTCTGACAGCAGCAGCAGCCTGACAGCTCTGACAGCTCCGACAGCGTCTGACAGCAACACCCGACAGCTCCGACAGCACCCGACAGCTACAGAACCCCTCGCCTGTCAGACATGCACCCGACAGCACCCGACAGCACACTGACAGCACCTGACAGCTGGTCTGACAGAGGCACCTGACAGTGCCTGACAGCTGCCCGACAGCCCGACAGATCACCTGACAGCACCTGACAGCCTGACAGCCAGGGCTCAGCACGTCACGCTTCCCCAACTCCCGTTGTGCAAGTTTGGCACGTCATTGTCTCTGACTGCTTCTCGTGGGGCCGCCGCGCCGCGAGACAGTCGACCTCTCTACTGTTGTGACACCACAACACGGCGCAGCTGGCGTCTTCCCCCCACCGGTGTGACACCACACCTTCGTACTTTGAATACTCTCTACAAACATGTCTTCCTCGGCTGAGGAGGCCCGCGACACCGTGGGCAAGCTATCTCCCGCGACCAAACCGCAGGACCGCGTACGACTCAACATACACGTGCTGGGCACCGATGATTCGGGTTCAGATGACCATCTCTCGAGCGAGAGACGAGGGACGCCTCACGAGACTCCAGAGGGCCTAGACCGGGGCGATACCACCCGGTCAGACCACACTGATCACCTCCACACCACGTTGGAGCGTACTGGGCCCAAGGACGACACCGATGCGCTGGACAAGCCATCGTCGCCTGGCTCCGCCGAGGTCAGGGCTACGCCAGCTGGAATGCCTTCTGCCAGGCTGCCGGCGAGCCCTCCTTCGGCGGAAGCCTTACTGGACCCGAAAGGGTTTGACTTGAACGTGGCAGCGATCAAGCCATCCGCAGTGGACTCGCCTCCTGGTTTGAGCACCACGCAACCACCTTTTGACGCCCGAACGGGCATGCGACCTTACGTCCCTGCCGAGGACGTCACGGGATTCTCGACCGACGGCGTGGAGGCGCTACAGCTGCAGGTGCAACAGTTCGTGCAACGCGCTGAGGAAGGCACAGCCGCGCTCATGCCCAACGATGTTGGAGTCATCGCCAGGCTCGCCTCTGATCTGCACGGCGCAGGGGAGCGGTACATGGCCACCGCCGAGCTCCTCGCGTCCTACCGTGAGGAGCGGTGCGCCTTCCAAACCTGTGTCGGGCAGGCAGCGGCGACCTACGGGCAGCAGCTATCGAATGGTGACTTCTCCGCCAACGGCAAGCTCACCGAGGCGGCGCTCTGCTTCAACGTGCTAAACGGGGAGCTGGGTGCCTTCGAAGCCGAGGTGGACGAGGGGCAAGCCACCCTCGACCAACTGGAGCAGCGGTATCATACCTCCCGCCTCGAGTACATTGCGGAGCAGGCACGGCTGCTGCAGATGCTTGAGGGCGCGGCCCCTTCCAAGCTTGCTCGGGCGAATGCTGCAGCACTCAAGCATCACCAGTCGCAAATCAGCTCGCTGGCCGATGAAGTCGCGCAGCAGCGTCAGGCGATGGTGGAGCAGAGCCGAGCGACGGCGGCGCTTGGTCGGCAGGCGGAGGAGCACAATGCAGAAGTGCAGCAGGGATTTGAGCAGGTGAACGCCAACCTCGCTCAAGGGTTCCAGGCGTTTAGGCTGGTGTCGCGGCTGTCCCCGCTGCCGCTGCTACGTCGCTCGTCGCGCTCGACGCTTCCTTCGCTTTGCCCGGCTCTCGCTCGAACGTCTCGACGTCTGATGTTTGCGAACCGTGCGACGGCTGTTCCATGGATATGCCAAATGCGTCGCGATGCAGCCTCCACCCCTGGGTGTGCCGAAACGTTCCTACGTAGTGCCACACTCCCCAGCTGCCATTCATTGCCGCGCCCCTCCCCGGGGGAATGGTCATGTTTGTGTCGCAGGAGGTGAGGCACGAGGACGCCCATGAGGACCGGTGGCCTGACCTACATCGAGAGGCTTCACCTATTATTCTCCTTCTCTCTCTCTCCTTCCCTCGCTCTCTCTCTCTCTCTCATTCCAGAGTGATGAATAGTCCGCCGTGTCCCCATATCCCTATATTCCCACACCCTGCGCAGTGGCACGTCGTTGACACCCAGACCCCTAATATTGGACATCTTGGGCACGTCACGCTTCCCCAACTCCCGTTGTGCAAGTTTGGCACGTCATTGTCTCTGACTGCTTCTCGTGGGGCCGCCGCGCCGCGAGACAGTCGACCTCTCTACTGTTGTGACACCACAACACGGCGCAGCTGGCGTCTTCCCCCCACCGGTGTGACACCACACCTTCGTACTTTGAATACTCTCTACAAACATGTCTTCCTCGGCTGAGGAGGCCCGCGACACCGTGGGCAAGCTATCTCCCGCGACCAAACCGCAGGACCGCGTACGACTCAACATACACGTGCTGGGCACCGATGATTCGGGTTCAGATGACCATCTCTCGAGCGAGAGACGAGGGACGCCTCACGAGACTCCAGAGGGCCTAGACCGGGGCGATACCACCCGGTCAGACCACACTGATCACCTCCACACGCACCCAGTGTTCCAGAGAGAGAGATTTTTAGCAATACACTATTCAATACCGTAAATAGAGTTGCTGTGTGAGAGAGTTGTTTTCCGTGCTTTTGGCTTTTCTTGGTTGGATTTGGGCCTCGGGGCGCGCTCATCGTGTGGTCGTGGTGTGAGTGTGTGTGGAGTGCGCGCGCGCGACCGACACGGATGGTCGGCTCCAGCGACCAGCGCGCAGCGGGCAGACCAGCGAGAAGTGTTGTCATCAACAGAGGGAAAACGTAAGAGCTTCATACAAAGTACACTGAAAAAGTAAGGTCTGACCTCGAGACAACCGACGTGTGTGTGTGTCTCAAAAAGTCGTCGTAAAACAATACTGGTGGAGTTCAGACGCCACCAGCCTCCTCTTCCAGCGCCACCAGCTTATCGCGAAGGCCAACGACAGCCAAGTCGAAGTTCTTTCGCAAGCTCACCTGCTCCTTCTCGGGCAGTGCCGCCATCGCTGCGTCATAGGCCTCACGCACCGCAGCGTACGCGGCACGAACCTCCTCGAGGTCGGCCTTGAAATCATCCGAGCTGCGGTCGTCGTCGTCTAGCAAGTCGCTCAGCAGCAGGTTAGCCTCGGCGAGTTCGTCGGAGAGGTGATCGGCTGGCGAGCGGCCCGACACAAAAGACCGGAGCTGTGGTGTCGCAGTGGCGGGCAAGTGCGGAATCCGTGATGCGAGCCTCGACATGGCGTGCTGCCTCCCTCCGCAATGCAGGCGGCCGACGCCGCGACGCGCGAGTGACGCGAGCATCGTAGCGAGCGCGAGGACTGCCCGAGGGACCAGAGGAGACAAAGCGGCCCCGCACAAAGCGTGCCGGGAACGGGCGGCGAAGACACAGAAAGAATTTTTTCCACAGATCTTTTTTCCTTCGGTGCGGATAGACAGAGTAGGAAAGAACGCCAGGAATTTCTTCCCGCACCCAAGGTCGACCAAGTCGTCCTGGAGGACCTGCTCGCGCTGTCGACTCGTTGGGCTGAGAGTCGCTTGCGAAGGCACCCGTAGCATTTTCTGTCGCCTCGAGGGCAAGATGGCGGGGAGCGATCGGGGCAGGGACGGCTCGATAGTAACTGAGGCGCCTCAGATGCTTCACGACCTGAATGCCTCAGTGAAGACTCCAGCCGTCGACAGAACTGAGAACACTGAGATCCTCGAAGAGACTGAGCTGGAGGAAGAGAACCACGCGAGCCTGCTGGCCGGGGCGAGGGCGGAGAGTGAGCGCACCGGCGATAAGCTCGACCCAATCCTCGGCCGGCCGGTGGATGCGCCTCGCGAGCCGACTGGCCACTTCACTCCTTTGCGGCGCCTGATGCCACCGGCACCCGAGTGGGCACTAGAGACCGTACTGACAGGTGTACTCTCGGCTGTGTGTTTTGTAGGGGGTGGCCAGTAGTCAGTTTCGGTGGTGCGCTCTCTGACCGGTGTGGCGGTGTAAAATCACGTTGGCTGTGTTGCGGTCTCCCCGTCGGACTCCACACCACTGACCAGAGTACAGACACAGACTAATTTTAGCCCGCGTCCCCACGGGTCTGTTGTATACTAGAAATGGGGTTGCTAGAACTATATTCACCCATGCTTCACTTCACCAAGCTTTCACAGATCCCCGCGAGCTGTCGCAGCTCAAGCGCTCGCTGCCTCGCCGGCCCTTCCAGCGCAGCATCGCTGAGCCGGCAAAAGTGAAGTGGTGCGCACGTGACGCGAATGATCGACATCAGCCAGCACGGAAAATGGTACAGCTCGAGGGCCATGCCTTTGATGTGGAAGCTCCAAAGAAAGTGGGTCGAGCATTGGCTCATCACGAATGACCAGACGTTGAGAACGAGTACGGGAACGGGGCTGCCGGCCCAGAGTAAGAGGCGGTTCAAGACGAGGACAGTCAGAGGGAAGACGCCACCATAGGCGAACAGATGGAATGTGACCCCTATTATTGGCATCAGCGCCTCATAGTAGCGGGTTGACGCCTGCCAGCCTGACGAGACGACAAACATGGCGCTGTTGATGCAGATGGTAGTGACCAATGCCAGGTTGACAAAAACGAATCCAGCGAGGGCGTCCATCCACCCTTCTTCTATCGTTTCATCCGCCTGGCCGGTCTGAGCCGCATCACGTTCGGTAAATTCGAGGATTGCGATCGGCACCGTGAGGAGAAGGCCGCTCACAACCCCAGTGAGCTCAAACGTCTTGAGCATGAGACCCTGTCGCTCAGCCGGCTTTACCAGCAGCAGCGAGAGGAAGGGGGCTGCTATCGACCGCAACCGCTTAGGCGGCGTGCCGTCTGCAGCCGGCAGCAGTAGGAAGTGCCGCAGCAGCTCGGACATCGGCACTCCCTGATCGATCGTCGCCTTTAGCAGCTCGGCCTTGACGGCAATCTTCAGGCCAATGGGTGCGGCAAACGCTTGCCAGTCCTCAGGGTCAGCGAGCTGTAGCTGCCACGCCGCCTGCACTCCGTGCTGCGCCAGCGCCTCCAGGAGCGGAGCCTTTGCGCCCTGGAGACCGGAAGCGGCAGCGGCAGCCTCGACGATCGTCTCGACGGGTCGCACGTCGTGCTCAGTAGGCAGCCCCTGGAGCTGGAGCTCCGACAGGCCGCGCGTGAGCACGGCGCCGCTCGACGGGCTCACGCGTGGCGGCATATGTTTGTGTGTGTGGTCCGCATAAATGCATGCGTTCGTTACATAAAGAAAGAATTACCAGAAAGAAAGAATGTTCAAAGCCGAAAGCAGTGTGCGGCGTTCGTTACATTGTAAGCTGATAAATATCACAGGGATTTTTTAGCGCGCCTGCGGCGGCTTCTCAGGTCTCGAGAGAGAGGCCGCCGCGCGGCCCTCTGTCTCGAGAAAACAGCGGCCACCTTGCTCTCTTTCTTGGATGATTGCGCGCGTCCGTCCTATCATCCTCTCCCGCGTCCACGCACACCGAGATGCCCTCGCCCACGCACAACAGATCCCTTTACATTAACCTGGCCGACGAGAGGATCTATCGGTCGGCCTTCAACCTCACGCGACCGCTCCTGCTCCAGAGAATGCGTTACGTTGAGCACATGCTGGCTTTCCTGCAGCACGCGGAGCTGAAGACCTTCCCGCTGATGGAGCAGGTGCTGCGTGTGAGCTGCGCCCAGGAGGGCAGCTTTGTAAAGACCTTCCCGCTGATGGAGCAGGTGCTGCGTGTGAGCTGCGCCCAGGAGGGCACCTTTGTGGACTCGGGCGCAAATGAGGGCTCGTGGTCCCTCGTGGCTGCAAGTTACGGCTGCAAGGTAATCGCGGTGGAGCCGCAGCCGCACTGCACGCAGTTGCTTCAGACGGGAGTGAACGCCAATGCTGGGCTTGGCGGGCGCGTCAGAGTTGTGAATGCCTTCCTCGCTGCAACGCCAATGAGCGTAAACTTTAGTGCAGACGGCAGCTGTCGGGCGGCCCGCCAGGTGTCCGGTTGCCCAGACGCGCGCTCGGCTACATCTTGACTACACCTCAGACAGCCTCGCTGCAGGTGTTGCCGGACGGCAAGCTCGGCGCATCCATTGCACTACAAGAGAAGGGAGACCGCCACTCCAGGAAGGCGGGGCAAACGGACGGCGCAGACCGAATCGCTGTCAGGTTGGGGAGGCCCTCGCCCCAACTTGTGTGCGTGACTCCCTCCACCCCCGGCATCCACCCCATGACCTCAGGTCGGCCACTCTCACAGAGCTGCTGCCGGCGCACGACCGCGTCGCCCTCTGGCATCTCGATGTGGAGGGTGCCGAGTTGGATGTGCTTGACTCCGCTGCCGCCCTTTTTGCAGCGCGGAGAGTGGACCGAGTGATGCTCGAGTTTGTGCCTGTCCGGTGGGAGCGCTTCGGGGTCCAGCAAGAGGCTGGCCTGAAGCGCGCACGCAGGATCTTCAGTGGTTGGTCCTGCGCCCGGGTGTGCGATGGCGCACCCTACGACTTTGCCGCCCCCCCCGCGTACCCCAAACGATGCCAGCCGGATCTCTTCTGCGAGAGGGGCGCTGCCGTGCGCGTGCGCCTCGGGCTCTTACCACCGCCCTGTCGGGTCGCGTGCAACCCCGCAGGGCGCGCTTGCTCGGTGAGGTGCGCTCGGTGAGGCCCGACCCTCAAACGCGTGCGAGCGTACTCGTCCGTGTCCCGAGCCCATGTGTCCTTTGCTTCACGAATCACGCGCCCTAAGTTGGGGCCACCCACAGTTATTGTTATGGTGATATACGTCCCGGGGCAGTACGCTTGTCATCTCAGCCCGTCGGGTTCCGGAGTGGCGGGCTATCACCGCTTGCGGGTGGAGAAATTTATCCTTACGGCCTTGCCCCCCGACACACATGGGGTCACCGCACACGCGTGCTTATCATGTGCCGTATGTGCGGGCTATGAGCCACTTTCCTTCTCAGAACGGTCGCGAGTACGTGTACGAGTCACAGCTGCCACCACGGCTTGGGCGGCGACCACCATTCTTGCAGCTTTTGCAATCGACTCTTCTCCTTGCCCATCACGCGGCTGCCAATCTTGGACAGCACCCCCTCCTCCTTCTTCTGCCCGCAGACCTTGCCGCAGACCTTGCCGTACGCGCTGCTGATGGCCGGCGAAGCCTTTGCCCACATCTTGCGGAGCAGCTCTCGCGAGGCGACAAGCAGCGCGGCCACGAGGAGTGGCACGATCGTAAACTGGTCAAACTGGGCGCGTTCCGGCGTGAGCCAGCGCGCGTAGCGCGAGTCGGCCGGGACTAGGGCGAGGTAGGTGAAGCCGAGCGTGAAGAAGAAGGCTCCGAGGAGCGCAGTCGCCGCCGGTATGATCTTTGCACGCAGGTACAGCCCCAGCACGCCGCCACCGACTGCGCCGACTAGGAGGAGCTCGAGGAGGAAGAGCTTGATAATCGTGTACACATAGAAACCAGCGACACCACCGACGCAAAGGCCGAGCAGAAAGAAGGTGGTCCACGGGCTCGTGCGGACACGCAGGCCGCACGCCACGCCGACGACCAGCGGCGGCAGTGCCAGACCGGCCCCGAGACGAATCCCAGCACGGGGGTGGCTTGATCGTGTCGAGAGCGGCAACGTCCCCGACATAGCTGCCCGCTTACCACGTAGAGTGTTTTCGAAGGCCTGTTTGACCATGGTTTGAGCCTTAATTATTAATTCGTGTTTGGGTCTCTGAGGTCGATACTAGCGTCTATACGACTTGCCACAAGCATGCTTTACAAAACAGTCCTGCGGAGCGGGACTCGCAGAACGGTGCGCCGCCTGCGCGCGCTGTGAACAGCGCCGTGCGGTCTTACACTGTTGCAACGTCGTCAAACACGTATAGCGAAAGAGAGACCGTAATATGGAAACAGCTCTCTAACAGAGCTGTCTGCTCTCGCCCAAGGCTCTCGGTCTCTCTCCCCCGCCCCCCCTCCACCCCCCGCACCCCCCGCAGGAGCCCGTTGAGGCGTGGGGTGCCTCGCCACAGTGTCGCAAAAGCCCCAAGTAGCTAGAACTCTCTCTCTCTCTCTCTCTTGACCTCTCTCTCCTGGGGTCTCTTAACTATCTCGCTCTCCCCGCCCCCCCCCCCCCCCCCTGGGCCCTTTGCCCTTTGGGCTTTTTCCGCACCCACTCACGGGTTTTGTTGGCCCCCCCCCCCCCCCCCCCCCGCAGGTGCGCCAACACCTTTGCATATACGCCTACGAGCTCGCCCCTCCGTGAAACTAACTCTGAACAAAGTTGGAGTCGCCTCAGGGACGGACGATATCGTCCGTCCCTGAGGCAAAGTTGTTGCTGTGCAGTGTCGCAAAAGCCCAAGGAAGCAGAACTAAGTTCCGTATTCGAATCTCGGCCCAAAAAAAAGCATGCATGTGGCTCCGCAGGTCGATACTAGCACTCAGGTCTCAGCGCAGCTACGACGACAGCGAGGGCAGCCGTTGGATTTGGAACGAGTCGGCCGCCGTAATACCTCAATTGGCGAAGCTCTTGATCTCGTCTGCCTGTGTCGAGCGAAGGCTGAGCCCACACTGCAGCACCGCTAGGTTCTTCAGCATCACCTCGCTCGATCGCCTCCTCCCTCTGAGTCTGACATGATCTCGACGAGACATGATTTCGAGCCGGCGAGCGGCTTTGGCGGGACCGTGTAGGACGGGTTGATGATCTGTGGACTGTCGCGCACTGCCTGAAGCGCCAGTTCTTCGCTCGGCCTTTAGCTCTGTCCACAGCGCGGCAAACTTGGCTGGCGGGTACCGCTTCCGGAAGGCTGCGGCAACGACCTCCTCCACTTCCAGCGGCAGCGAACGAGCGAGCACGACGCCACCGCGGAACGGAAGCGGGACGGAAGCGACGGCCGCACACGACGCGCGTGGAGCTGGTTGGAAAGCGAAAGAAAGAAGCCTAGCAGGATGAGAAAACGCAGCCCGAACCTGCCCTTGTCGTGCATTTGTGCTGTGAGAGAGGCCCCGGCCTACGGCAGCTGCTCTCGAGGTCGACGAGCAGCGAGGAGCGGTTGCGGCTCTAGCAGACAGACGAAAATGCGCTCGGTAGCGCTGCGCCGTCTCCGGGCTCGAGTTCGTCCGACCGCTCGTCACGTCCACCTCCCGGCATCCTCGTCGCGTGCGCGGTGTGCAGAGGCGGAGGAGGCCAGGGCGCGGTGTGGAGAGGCGGCGGAGGAGGACAGGCTGAGGAACGAGCGCGCGCGTGCCGCGGCTGCCCTTCGCGAGGAGCAACGATCTCGTGTCCTCGCGGCGCTTGCGAGCGGCCCGCGGCTCGTGGTCGACCTCGCTCCCGCGTACACCGCCCTCATGTCCGCGCGGCACCGCCGCTCGCTCTCGCAGCAGCTCGGCCGATGTTGGGCCCTCAATCGGCGGGCGCCGGCGCCGTTTGCGATGCACCTCGCCTCGCTGCGGACGTGCCCGGCGGAGTGCTTACCGGCCGGCGGCGAGCACGAGCGGTGGCTGGTGGGGCGGCTCGACGGCGAAGTGAGCGACCACTTTGGGAGAGAAGGCAAGCTGCTGCTCGAGGCGCGTGCGCGTGGGCGTGTGAACAGCGCCTCTTTCAGAGCCGCAGCCGTGGACAGGCGCGCCGCGACTCGAGTGGTTGCGGAGGTGGCCGGCGCCTCTTCACCCCGCCGCTGTGTGCAGGCATCGCCTCTCGCCGGAGGCAAAGAAATCAGACGCCGAAGAGAAAAAGAAGACCGCCGCTGTGAGCAGGCATCGTCTATCTCTCCCCGGACGCGGAGGAGGTGCTGGAGGTGCCGTGGGATTCGGAGAGCGCCAGAGTCGGACCGCTCCACACCGACCACACAACACACCGGAGCGGCACACTCCACCACAGACCACCCAAGATCAGACTCTCCCCAGGCGCCGCTCGAGGCGGAGAAGACGTACGTGATCGGCGGTCTCGTGGACGGGACTGTGGTCAAGCACGCCTCGATAGACGGACAGATACACGCCACAGCCACACACACACACACACACACACACACACACACACACACACACACACACACACACACACACACACACACACACACACACACACACACACCTCACGCGCGCACGCACGCACGCACGCACACAGACGAAAGAGAGTCAGACCAACGACTGGGACAGCACAAGACGCCCCGCCGACCGGGCTGCCACACATCCGCAGCGTGGCGAAGCCTCGCCGGGGAGGCAGCGGTGCTGTGAGTGTGAACAGCGCCTCTTCACACCTGCTCGTGTTGTGAACAGGCACGCCTCGCTCCGCCGCGCCGCCGCGCTCGGCGTCGCGGCGGCGCGGATACCGCTCGCAGAGCACGCCGCGCTGGGTCGCTCTAGCTAGATGCGGATCCGTGTGATTTCCTCGAGTACGGCACTGGAACAGCGGCACGTCTCTCAGCTGCATTCAGCTGCATTCAGCTGTGTTCAGCTATCTTCAGCCGTGTTCACTGCCATTGGTGCGTGCATGGCGCAGGCCGCTCTTCCCAGCCGGTGGACCGTGCGGGCGTGCTCACGCTGCCCGCAGCGGTGGACGTGCTGCTTCGCGTGCACGCGGGCGCCAGCTGGAGTCAGGCCATGCGCGCGGCGCTGCCGCCTCGTTTCTTCCTCTCGGCGGAGGAGGAGGCGGAGGCCCGAGCCAAGAGGCGAAGAGCCAAAGAACAAAGCCGAAGGACTATGTGAGATGCTGTGCGCCAGCTGTTCCCCGGAGATCGCCGCACAGAGCCATCGCCTCCGTCTCGTTCGGCTTGGCGTGCAATGCGCCGCGGCCTTTCAATGAATCGTAAATAGCAAAAACAGCAAACTCGCATATGTCTAGTGACTAGTCGAGCCCCGCCCACACGGCGCGCACGGCACTGTTTCGGGCCGGCCCCCTGGGGCAGGGGCGCCCACGCCCACGCTAGGGAAGCGCGGCGCCGCTAGCGCCACGCGCCACGCGCGCGCCCCAGGGCCCAGGCACGCCGAGCCGGGCCCGGTTTCTTTTCCTCCCCTGACGATTAGTGAGGAGGTGGTGTTGCACAGCATGGAGCTCGGCGAGCGTTTAGCGAGCCCCTCAGCTAGTAAAAATATTACTCTCGTGAGGCTGTGAAAGCACGCCCAACCTAGCGGATTTGTTCACAGCTCAGAGAGTAAGTTGCGGGTGATGGTCATTTGGCGTGTATCGCGTGCCTTGCGGGGGGGGCGCGGAAAAGGAACCTCTTAGCGCCATCGCCACGGTGCTGCATGCAGCGCCGGGCGACGACGGCTTACCGCCTCCCGGTCCCCTCTTGGCGCTGGCTTGATGCGCTCGTTTGTGTGACATCCTTCTGCGCTCTCCATTGGGGGGACTGGTTTTTGGGGCTTGCCCCCCCCCTTCTTCTCATCGTTACCACCCAAGACTGCATCCAGACGCCTCTAGAATTTAAACGCCTCTAGAAGGAAATGGAGTCACGCACTTGGTCTCGGCTTGTAGACAGCAAGCGGCGCGAGAACCCTTCTCCGGCCGCAGCACAGCGCTACCGCGAGTACTTGCTCTGGACGGAGACGAGGCCGGTGCAGTTTGGCGACGAGCCGCCAAACGACACGTACGAGATCTTCATGAAGGAGCGCCGGCGCTCGAAGGAGAAGGCGCGGCTGCAAGGTGTGGCACGCAAGCGGCAGGCGGAGAGACAACTGCAGCGTCAAACGGTCGTGTCGGACGCCGCCCTAGCTTCGCCCGCTGCGCAACCCGCAGCAAAGCGGCCCCGCGGCCGCCCAGCCGACCCCAACACGGAGCAGCGACGTCGCGATCGCCGGGAGCTGCAGCGCGAGAAGTCGCTCGCTCAGCAGCACCGTCGCGACGCTCGGGATGCAGCGAGAGCGGGGCAGCAGGTACGGAGCACGCTGCAGTTCATGGAGCTAAACCTCACACGTGCAAAGGCGGCGGGCTTCAATCCGTGGGGGGCGCTTCCTGACGATTCCACGCACGTGCAAGCATATGCATTTTGGCGCAGCAAGGCTTTGGGAGCGCAGGTTGACGCGAACCGGATGCGGCGCATGCCCGAGGCAGACGCTCTTGCAGCTACAGCTTTCGCGCGGACATTGACAGCCCGGGCTGCGAAAGCTGGATGGGCGGCGGCGGCCGAGCGGGCCACCACGGCTGATGCGATCGGAGAGGCACGCGCGGCCTCAGCTGCGGCGGCAGCGCATGCTCGGTATGCAGACGCTGTGGCAGTCGCGGCAGCCGGCGCACAGAGTGTTGCCTCGAAGCAGCGCCGCCGGCGCGAGAGTGGTAGCCTCTCGGCGCTGCTGCAGCCGTCGCAGCCGTGGGTGTCCGCGGCGTTCGCGGCCGTCAGCGCACCGCTGCCCGAGTGTGGCTTGGACGCAGATGGCGCCGCGCCGCCAGCGCTGCTGCCGCCGCCGCCGCCGCCGGGCCAGCCTGCGCTGACCGACGCGGTGGTGCCGCGCGTGTGGTCAACGGAGGGGCAATGCGAGGGGATGACGCGCCAGAGCGGCGGGACAGAGCGATGCCGGGTGCATCGCAATAGCCCGTACGCAGTCGCGGCACCGCTGCGCCGCGGCGAGCGGTACTGCGGCCACCATCACCCCGACAAGTTCACCGGGGTGCAGTGCGCAGGGCAGCGCAAGCACGGCAAGGGCCGATGCCGAGTGTGGAGCGGTTGCTGCTATGCCGATGCCGCCCCGCTCCGTCGCGGCAGCCCCTACTGCCACCACCACCGCGTGCGCTGCGTGGGGCTGACGCAGTCCGGCGCGCGCTGCACCGTGACGAGCTCCTCCGAGAACGTGCACGCGCAGCCGCTGCGCGACGGCGAGCTGCACTGCGCACACCATCAGCCCGCGGCGCCATCGTCGCTTGCTCCATCGGCGCCCTGTCCACGCGCCGCGGTCAGCGATCGGGCCATCGTGCTCGGTAGCGGCGAAGATTTCGAGGGCCCGGACGGGCCGCTGCCGCCATCCATCGCGATCGTTGAAAGCGAGGCCAGGCTAGAGCAGGGCAACTGCCTTACGCAGCTACTCCGACGCTTCCCTGCACTTCACTACACCTCGATCAAGTACAGTGACCCCACACTCCCCCACTTGTGGGTGCTCCCGCTCGAGGGGCAAACGGCACAAACGGGCCGGCTCGCGGACTTCATGGTGAGCTTAGGGCTCACTGTGAGAGAGCAAGACCTTGACTACGAGAGCTCCGATGACGATGCAGCCAGCGATGTCGACAGCGCGCGTTGCGATGAGCCGCTGGACCCTGACGTAGAGGCGGAGTTGCCCGATTATTTTTAATAGGCATTGCGGCTAGAATGAATATTCGGTCGCGCCAAACGGGCTTCTTGGGTGGAAAGAAATGGCCGCTGATGCCCGGGAGGGGGCCGGTTACTCAAGACGGTCTGGACCGCCAACTGGCGGCTCTTTGTGACATGGTTCGAGAGCGCAGAAATTCACCGTGTTGGACGTGGTCATCTGGACGGTTGAGCACGTGCTGTCTCCGTTTCAAGAGCCACCGATCTTCGTCCAGAGGGCACGTTACGAGCAGCAGCGGGAGCGTGAGCAGCAGCAGCGGCGGGAGAAGGCGGCGGCAGAGGCGGCAGAGCGCGATCGTCAGAGACGTGAGCGGCGGGAGAAGGCGGCGGCAGAGGCGGCAGAGCGCGAGCGTCAGAAACGCGAGCGGCGGCGGCGGAGGAAGGCGGCGGAGCCGCCGAGGCGGCCGACCGGAGGAGGTGAAATGGCGGCGGTGGCAGAGGAGGAGCTGTTGAGTGAGGCGGCGAGGGCAGCTGCAGGTGGGGCTGTGGCGAGGGCGGCGGAGGAGGCGGAGGCATGTGAGGTGGAAGAGAGAGAGGTGGTAGCGGCACGGGAGTCGGCAGTGCGAGCGGCGGCGGCGGCGGAGGCGGAGCGGGCGGCGGAGGCCGCGGCCGCCGCCACTGCCGCGGCGGCCGAGATGCGAAAGCATGGCTCGGCGGTTGCGGAGGCGAGCGCGCTGCGCGCGCTGCAGGCGCTCACGAGCAGCACCTCGCTCGAGGAGCGGCGCGCGGCGGCGGCGGCGGCGTCGCACGCGGCGGTCCTGCCTGCCCTCGTGGGGGAGATTGAAAAGGCGGAGCGAGCCGCGGCCGAGGCGACCGACCGGTTCGTCTCGACCGAGGAGCCGGTCATGAATACTCCGACCGATGGCGCGGAGGAGCAGGCGGCGGCGGCGGCGGTTGCGGCAGAGGCCCCTCCCTCTTCTCGCCCGCCAAGGTCCGCCACGGCGGCCGCGGCGGCCGACGCGGGAGCACCGGCCCCCACGCACGGCGCGCCCCCGCCGCCCCACGCCCTCGTCTCGCTCGCAGACGCTAGCTTCGACACGGGCCGGCCGCCGGAGTCCACGATGGGCGGCGAGACGACGTGCATAATTTGCTTCACCGACCCGAAGTCTCACATAGCGACGCCGTGTGGCCATGTGTGCGCTTGCGGCCGGTGCTCCGCAAAGATGGAGCGGTGTCCTGTCTGTCGCGCGCCAGTCGAGAGGTGGTTCCAGGTGCATGTGGCGTGAGAGGGTGTACCTGTACGTATTTCGATGCGGTGGAGCATAAAAACAAAAAAACTTGAATTCCAAAACCCGGACGTGCCTCCACCGGCACGCCGCTTCCGACAGGGTGATGCTGATGGAAGGTTCGACGCTGGACGCACCCGCCACCCCCCCGGTGCGGCCCGGACTGGGCGGAGAGATCCCAGGGTAAGAGAGAGAGACTGAGAGAGATTGATGATTGTTTTGTTTTGTTGTTAACACGTATAGCTGGGGTTGGCCGGTTGCAAGGCCCATGTAACGATGTGAGTTCTTCGTTGTGCGGCCATGTGAGTGTACACACAGTCCTGAGAGACAAACACTCATGGCGCCTAAAATGATTTCTTTTCCTCCTCTGGCCGAGTCGGCGAGGGTCGCACCCAGCTGGTCGATCTGCTGCCGTGCCACGCTGCCAAAATGAGCGCGCGCGACCCACCACCTCGCGTTCTTCTCGGCGTCATGTCCAACCCTGTCAAGCCCGCAATGCGCGCCCAGCAGCGCAAGTGGGCCGGCCACTTCCAGCACGCAGCCAACGTGGACGTGCGGTTTGTTCTGGGCACCACCTTTTTCAACAACACGCAGCGGCCTCCGCCCGAGTGGGACGAGCTCAAGGCGGAGGAGAAGGAGCACAAGGACATCATCTTTGTCGAGGGCCGCGAGAAGCTGCCGCACGTCGGCGTCGTCACGGAGAAGAGCGCGTCGTTCTGGCTCTCGCGCGGCGCCGAGTCGCCGGGGTACGAGTGGTACTGCAAGTGCGATGACGACACGCTCGTCCACCTCTCGCGCCTCGGCGAGACCCTCGCCAACGTGACCCGATCGCTCGGCCGCACAGCCCACGTCTACTTTGGCCACCTCAAGTGGCGCGGCTGGGAGGCGGGCCACCGCTTCCAGGCGTGCGGCGGCGGGTGGGGCGACTCGGCCAAGACGCTGAGCGATATCCTCGGCGGCGGAGGCATGCCCGACGGATCGCGCTATCCCCCCTGCCCGCACGCCGCGGGTCCGGTGCCCTACATGAGCGGAGGCATGGCCTGCGCGACTAGAAGCGGAAGACGCGCTCTTGTCTCCCAACCAGCGCTCGAGAGGACGCGGACTCCGCTGCATTCGGTATTCCGCTGTATCCAGCGCATTCGCACCCCTCGTACTCACGCGCTGCTCTGCTGCACGATACCGCACACGCAGGTCTGCATGTCGCGGCCCCTCGCCGTGGCGATGGCGGCCGACGCCGCCTTCCGAGACTTCTACGAGACCGCGCGCAAGCGGAACGACCGCGGAGTCGCGTGCAAGCGTCCGGAGCGGTGCGCCGCGCAGCCGTACGCCAGCCACATGTGGCACCACGAGGACGCGGAGGAGATGAAGCCTTCCCCGAACCTTCCCAGAGCCTCCCCTGAGCCTTCCCTGAGCCTTCCCTGTAGGACGCGGGCGTGGGATTCAACGTGTTTCGTGCGGCGCCGACGCAGCAGCGCCAGGTGCACGTCGTGCCGGTGGCGGGACATGTCCAGGACACCTCCACGACATGTCTGAGACACGTCCCATAGGTGCACATTGTGCCGGTGCCGGGACACTACAACGACCCTTACATCATCGAGCGCACTCGCTGGACGGAGTCCGTCGCCTCCCTCTCTGCCGAGGACGAGTACTGGTCCAGGCGCGAGATCGAGCCGAGATCGAGCCGAGATCGAGCCGAGATCGAGCCGAGAGATGAGGACGAGTACTGGTGGTCCAGGCGCGCCCTCTTTGTGCACGGCATCAAGACTCGCAAGTCGTACCAGGAGGCGGAGAGGAGGTGGAGCTCAGATCTCCCCAAATCTCCCCAAATCTCCCCAAATCTCCCCAAATCTCCCCGAATTTCCAGGGGGGAGTTTGGGGGCGGGAGGGAAAACTTGGCCTTTCATTGGGGCCCGTGGGGCCTCCCAAACCCCAACCCCCAAAAGGGGGAAAAACACCCGAAAAATCCCCGAAAACCCCCCGAAAAATTCCCAAAAAATCCCCGAAAAATCCCCAAAAGGGGGCCAAAAAATCCCCGAAAAATTCCCGAAAAATTTCCGTTTTCCCCGAAAAAGGAAACCGGCGCGGTTTTCCCCCCCCCCCCCCCCCCCTCTCCTCGCGTGTGTGGAGAAGATGACCCCCCCCCTCCCTCACCCCCCCCCCTCGCCTCCCCCTCACCAGGCAACTGGCGCGCCGCACGACTGCCGTGTGCTCACCTGCGCAACAACACGCCGGCGGCGGCGGCGGCGGCCGCGGCCCTCTTCGACGACGCCTCGCCCGCCGCCCGGGAGGCTGCCAAGGTTGGCGCCGCCATCCTGCGTCAAGAGTCAGGCGCGGGACGGTTCGTCGACCCGCGCTTCTGCGCCGTCCCGATCGGGGACGCCTTCGCGTGCTGCGGCTGGCCGTGGCAGCTGCCGCAGCTGCGCTCGCTGGTCCTGCGCGGCGTTGCGGCGTGGGCGGAGGAGCGCGGCGGCGCGTCGAGCGAGGTGATGACGCCCGAGGCGCTGCACAAGGTGATCAAGCGGCTGTACCGCGACGAGTCCAAGGGGGTGCACAACCGCAAGGGCTGCGTCGCCGACTGCTTGCGCATCGTCGTGCCGCGCGGGGTCGACTTCGAAAAGACTCTCGCCGAGATGGAGCTGAGGGGGGACGTGCGGCTCCTCTGGTCCACCCCGGATGGCAAGCGGCCGCCGGCGCGCGGGATGAGCTGGGAAGGCGTCGGGCGGGCACAGGTGGCCAGTGTCGCGCCGTGAACGCGAGTCAGGCGGACGCACTTGTACCAGGACTTGTGCGGCGGCGCTTCTCGTGCTTCTCGCCCCCGACGGCGCCGCAAAGGCTGAAAAAATCAAATGCCCTCATCACATGCGTCTCGTCTGTGTGCTGTCAAGTTGGTCGTGTGTGTGTGTGTGTGTGTGTGTGTGTGTGTGTGTGTGTGTGTGTGTGTGTGTGCGTGTGTGTGTGTGTGTGTGTAGATGTGACGTGTGACTTACACTGCAGAGGTTTTTGCATTACCAAACAATTCGCCTCTGTGCTCTGAGCCCCACGGTGGGGGAGAGCGCACAATGCGCTTATGCGTGAGCTGTGGTCTGTGGAGGGAGTCCAGACGCCGTCCATGTCCTCTCTCTACTGCGCTGATAACTTTACTCTATGCCGTACACTAGTCTCTACGGAAGTGGGCCGTCGCAAAAATAGGGGTGCGTTGTGCGCCTCGCACCTCTCTCTGAAGAGTCGGCACTGATTCCGAGTCAGCACGACGCCCGCCCATCGGCAGGGTCGTACTCCATGCATGGAACAGATCGTCATCGGCTGTGCGGCCCCGCGGCTCGGCGCCTTCAGAGAGGTAGCTGGTCCACCTCCCCCCCCGCCGCAGTGTCAACCTCCACGCCGGCCGGAGGGAGCAGCCTGCCCCAGAGCGCGCGCGGGCCGGAGGCGGTGTTGCCGCGCACCGCCCCTCGCGTGTCGGCGGAGAGGCGGAGGGCGACGTCGCTGCCGAGCTGCGTCTCGAACGCGCAGCCGGTGACCGTGATGCGGCCTCCCCGCTCCGCAAAGACCGCGGTGCGCACGTTGCGGAAGGTCGTGCCGCGAGCGAGCAGGGAGCACTCGGCGTCGCAGATCTGCACGGCCGACGACGCCGTCGAGATGGTGCAGTCGACGAGCTCGAGCCGCGCACCTGGGTGCGGCGAGGTGCACTTCTCCACACACACGAGGTGGTTGGGCGAGGGCGAGGCTCTCCTTCGCGACTGCGCGCGTGGGCGAGCGGCATGAGTGTGTCGGTGTGTGCGCGCGCGCCTCCGCGCAACACGACGCCGGCGCACGCGCGGTGCTTTGGGCGGGACGACTCGATGGAGCAGTGCTCGAGCCGCCACGTGCCGCCCAGCAGCGTCACGGCGGGGTTGTAAAAGTGCGAGAGCGCCACGCCGCGCAGCACTCCGACCCGCGAGGACGCTGCCGAGCCGCGCAGCGTGAGCGGGCCGGAGAGAGTGCTCAGACCTGCCCTCTCCGCCTCAACCTCGAGCGCATGGCACAGCTCGAGCGGGGTCGCGTGCACGCCGCAGAGCAGGCGCAGCCGGTCGCCGGGCCGGGTCAGCCGGAGGCAAGCCCAGCCCCGCCCGCGCGGCGCGGTGAGCCACGCGGAGGACCAGAGCGCCGCAATCGCGGGCCCGGCGCCCCGGTCGAGCAGCCGGCGCCACTCCGGGCACACGCACGCCGCGGAGCGCAGTGTCCACGCGTCGGTGACGAAGCTAAAGACGTGGACGAGCAGCTCGGCGCCGCCCTGCTCGAGGGCGGCGCGGCAGGCGGACGAGGAGGCGGCTTGGCCCGCGAGGGCCAGCCCGTGCACGAACGCGCGCCGCGTGCGACGCGCCGCATACGCCGCGCCGCAGAACGCCGCGGCGCGCGCCGCATCCTCGCCGCCGCCTCTCACCGTCACGAGGCGTCGGCCACGCCGGGCGGCGGCCGCGGCGGCCGCGGCGACGGAAGGCTCGCATGCGCACTCTCCCTCGCGTCGGGCGAGCGAGATGAGCGCCTCGCACTCTGCGCACACGAGCTCCGCCGCCGCGCCGCCGCCCTCGCCGCCGCCGCCCTCGCCGCCGCCGCCCTCGCCGCTCGCTTCCGCCGCCGCACACGCGCCCTGTGCGCCTGCGCCTGCCCGCTCGGCCGCGCAACGGCGGTGCACCCAGCAGCGGCACGCCACGCACTGCACCGCCTCGTCGAGCTCGCCTCCCGCCGCCGCGGCAGCAGAGTGGGCGGGCGGCGGCGCGGCCGATGCGGCGGGCGGGTCGGACGCCGGCGCCCGCTGCCCGGCCGCCTACCAACGACCCATATGACTGGTGAGCCGACGCCACCGCCCGCCGCCTGACTGGCGGCGGGGGACAGAGGCGCGCCTTGGGGGCGGGCGGCGCTTCTCGAGGCACATCCTGCAGCCGGCAGTACACGGAGCCATCCGGCGCGTGGTACGTGTTCTTGCGGTGCGGCCCGAGCTCGATCCGCCATCCGGCCGCCGCGGCGCCGTCCCACAGGCGAGAATCGGTGTGCGCGCTGTCGGCCAGCGGCAAGCAAGCGGGGAAGTGCGCCTGCGGGCTCGTCTCGCCGGCCTCGGCCGCCTCGGCTTCGCGCGAAGGTCGCCCTCGCGGGGCGGGGAGGGCGGGGAGGGCGGGGAGGGCGAGGCCCGAGCCGCAGACGTGGCAGCAGCTCTCGAGCGCCTCCTTCGCCTCTGCGAGGAGCGAGGGCGCGCCCCTCGTGCCCCTCGCCGCGCGCGGGCGGGCCGACGGCCGCGCGGCGCCGCGACCGCCTCTTGGCGCGGGCACGTCGGAGAAGGCCACCCAAGCAGGCGGAGGCGCCGGGGGCGGCGGCGAGGCGGGCAGCGCGCCGATGGCCTCGGAGAGCCGCTCCACGAGCAACGCACGCAGCTGGCCGGGCGGCGCAGCGGGCCGGCAGCCGCTCGCGACGCCGAGCCACGCCAGGTGCTTCTTGAGGTCCACCTCCATCAGCCGATCCTCTAGCACCTCCTCGAGCAGCTCGAGGAGCACCGCCCGCCGCCCCCCCCCGCCGCCCGCCCGGTCGGCAGCCTCCCTCCCCCCACTGCCGCACGCCGCCGCGTCGGCGCAGCGCGGGCACTCAAACCCAGCCGCCGGCAGCTTGCCGCGTTGCTCGAGCCCGGCGCACAAGCGGTGCAACCACACGCCGCACACGCCGCACTGGACCCCGGCATCGGCGCCGTGCCACGCCTGAGCCCCGCCGCACGCGCCGCAAGGACCCCGGGGCAGAGGAAGCGGCGAAGACGACCCGCCCGCCGCCGCCCCTCCCCCCTGCGCCGCCGCTACCGCAACCTCGCCGCCGCAGCCGGCCGCCGCCACACCCTCCGACGCGGCAGCCGCTCCGTCGCCGCCGCCGCAGCCATCTGACCGCGCGGCGGCGGCCGAGGCAAACGGCAAGGCTGCGGTGGCGGGTGCGCCGCGCGCTTGCCGGCCCTCCCCGCCCTCCCCGCCCTCCCCGCCCTCCAGGCCCTCCCCGCCCCTGTACGGCCTCGCTGGCCCCTCCTCGGCCGGCGCGGCGGCGGGCTGCGCACGGGCGGCCGGATGGGCCCAATGCTGGCGCCTGGCGAGCACCGGATGCGCAGGCAAAGGCGGGCGGGCGCCAGAGGTGGAGGGGCGGGAGTTGGGTGGTGCGGTAGCGGCGGCGGTGGCGGCGGTGGTGAAGGAGGTGTCGGAGGTGGAGGAGGAGGTGGCGGTGGAGGAGGAGGAGGAGGAGGAGGCGGCGGTGTGTGCGCCGGCGAGTCGTGTCAGGTCGTGGCTGAGTCGCGTCCTCTCATGGCAGGATCGGCAACCCTTGCGCGAGTAGCGGCACTTCGAGCAGCCGGGGGGCGGCAGGGCGCCGGCGCGGGCAGCGGCAGAGCCCGAGGCGTGCGTGGCGGGGCAGCAGGCGGAGTCCGGCCGCGGCTGCAGCGGGTCGCGCGCGTCGGGCTGCCTCCACGCCACGGGCACAGCCTCCGCTGCTGGCTCGGCGCCGCCCTCGCACGGCCTTGGAGGGAGGAGAGAGAGGCGGCAGTCAGGAGGAGAGAGAGGCGGCAACGGCGGCGGAGGAGAGAGGCGGCAGGGAGGAGCGGGAGAGAGAGAGGCGGCAGGGAGGAGCGAGAGAGAGAGGCGGCAGGGAGGAGCGAGAGAGAGAGGCGGCAGGGAGGAGGAGCGAGAGAGAGACCCCGCACCGGCAAGTGTAGTGCTCCGTCTCCTCGGCCTGCTGCCGGTCGAGCCCGGCGCACTCGCCGTGGCACCAGCGGCCGCACACGTCGCACTGGACCCACCCTCCCTCGAAGGGCACGTCGTTCCTATTCGCACAGGCCGCCCGTGGACGCTGCTCGCCCCGCGGCCCGGTCCCTCAACGGCGGCGCGTTCGTTGGCAGGTGGCGGTCAGTGCCGCACCAGCAGCCGACGAAGCTCGACGCTTCGGGCCGCACCTCGCGAGCGCGCAGGTGCAGCTCTTCGCTCGGCAGAGCCTTGCCCGCCTCCATCACAGCGACCGCGATGTACCCGTTGGCCATCCGCACGACGTAGCCACGCCGGCCAGCGTGCTCGCCGCTCTTGGTGACCACCACCTCGGAGCCGACTGCGACGCCGACACGGGCAGCTATGCTGCGCGCCGGCCGCGACGCCACGTGCGGCTCCCAGTCACCGGCCTCCCCGTCCGTCGAAAGAGGCTCGACCTCGCGTGCTCGCACATTCACCTCGCCACCCTCGTCAAGCCCAACACGCAGGTATCCGTTTCTGGAGCCGAGCACCTTACCTGCCGCACCGTGGAGCCCACCGGGTCTGGTTAGCTGGACGTATCCACCGATCGACCACGGGGGATCGCCCCGTCGCATGCACGCGTGGTGGGTGTGGTGCATGCAACGCGTTGTGGTATTTCGGTGCAGAGAAGAGAAACCGCGGAGGTGAGGGGCCTGCCCTCCACTGCGGCTGCGCGCAAGAAGCCGTCCGCCGTTTGCTTGTTCGTGACCCAGTTGGTGCGCATCAAAAACAAAAACAGGCTATCATACGCGTGGTCTTTGACCCATCCCTTTCCAGTCGAGTGGTCGAGCGGTCCGTCCACCTGACGGCCACACTCCTTCGCTTGCACCCCACGACCGCCGTCAACGCCTTGTCCAGCGTGTTTCCAAACCCGTAGAGGTGGCCCACCGACGCGAGCATAGAGCGGCCAAACTTGGTGAAAGAGAAAAAAGTTTGCAAAAAAAAGAACGCGCCCCCTTTTGGATGCTCGTGGCCATCGCCTTCGCCGCCGCCTGCGGCGTCGCCACCGGCGGGCCGCCGCCCAACGTGGCGTTCCTGTCGCACGGTGACCTTGTCGAGGATGGCGAGGCTGCTCGCGAGGCCATTCGCGCCGCCTTCACCGGCAGCGCCTCCTTTGGCCTCCTGGTGGTGCGCGGCATCCCTGGCTTTGCCGACAAGCGGCGCGCGGCCTTCAATGCGACGATGCGGCTGGCGGTGGACCCTCCGGTGCACAGCCGGCGGCTCCGGAACGCGTGGCCTGGCTTCCGCCACCCGTCCGACGTGCAGGAGCCGCTGCAGGGCGGCTTTCTGCACAACATGCTCGAGGACGTCGGGCCAGCGCGGGTGGACCCCGTGTTCGGCAAGACGCCCTGGCCCGACGCGGCGTACAGGGCGACAGTCGTGGCGGTGAACGAGCTCATCTACGACACCTCGCACCGCGTGCTGTCCGGGGTTGACCGGCTCGAGGGACCCTAGATGCGGAAGTGTCTAGGAAGTGTGTAGGAAGTGTCGACCGGCTCGAGGTTCGGAGCAGAGACCGGCACTCGAGACGACGCGTATCCAGCTGCATGCATCTGCACTCGTCTGCATCCCTCTGTGCTCGCAGCCAGCGCGACGCTCCGAGCATGCAGCACGCGACTGCTCTCGCCCCGAGACTGTCGGATGCACGAGACATGTCCGAGACACGCACGAGGCCATGACATGTCCGAGACATGTCCCGCAGGCTGGTCGGCGAGGAGGCGGAGCGGACAGGGTCTCCGGCGCCAGAGGTGCCGCTCGGGCAGCTGCTGCGGCGGCAGGACTTCCTCTACTCCCTGTTCAAGTACTTTCGCGCAGAGTTCTCCCGCGGCGACGCCACCTCTTCGAAGACAGCTCACCAAGGCATGCGGCGCCGTCACCGCGCAGCTGTTCCCATGCACAGGCGACGACCTCTTTGAAGACATCGACGGCACGCTGCCGACCTCGCTCCAGGCGGGCTCGCAGCCCGAAGACGCTGTCGCCTCCGCCAGCTTCGACTCCAACTCCAGCTTCGACTCCAACTCCAGCTTCGACTCCACCTTGCGGCCGCCCTCCCACGCCGGCACTTGTGTCGCCGCAGAGGCGGCGGAGGGCGCTGCGGGCGGCGGCGGCGGCAGCGCAGCGGAGCTGTCTTCGATGCGGACGCACTCCGCTTCGTCGCGCGGTCGCGGCGGCGGCATTTGTGCTGTCGAAAAAGCGGGAAGCGGCGGCGGCGGCGGCGCAGGCGGCGGCAGCAGCGCAGGCGGCGGCGGCAGCGCAGCGGAGCTGTCTTCGATGCGGACGCACTCCGCTTCGTCGCGCGGTCGCGGCGGCGGCATTTGTGCTGTCGAAAAAGCGGGAAGCGGCGGCGGCGGCGGCGCAGGCGGCGGCAGCAGCGCAGGCGGCGGCGGGCCGGAGTCGTTCTGGCTGCCGTGGCACATCGACCCGAACACGATCTCGACGCTGACGGGCGACAGCTACTTCGACTTCGACACGTCCGAGACCATCCGGCTCGCCGAGTACCCGGAGACGGGGCTCGGGCTGGTCGCGCTCAACGCGCTCGGCGTCGTCGTCAAGCGGACATGCCGCCGGGCCCTCGGCTCGTCCAGGACATGTCCGAGACATGTCGCGTTAGGCGACGTTGTCCACCTCTCGCGCCACATCGACGAGGACTCCCTCGTCGTCATGATGGCGGCCGGCGCGCAGGCGCGCGACACCTCGTGCAACCGCAGTTCTGACCTCAACCAGACCTCGGCTAGATCTCGGCTAGATCTCGGCTAGATCTCGGCCCCTTGGCTGAGCTCGCTCGGCCTGCACGCTAGAGATCCCCGACCCTACGATCCCCGACCCTAGCGGCGGGCCGCGTGAGCCCCGGCCCCGAACCCCAACCCCGAGCCCCCGAGCCCTAACCCGAACCCTAACGGCGAACCCAACCCCGAGCCCTAATGACGAGCCCCAACGAACGGCCGGTCGCCCAGGTGCACACCGGCGGGCTCCTTCGGGGCTGCATGCACGCTGTGCAGCGCGAGGCGGCCCCGAGGGGCGCCTCGCGGATCATGTACTACCAGGCACCGCCTCGCCGCCAGCTTCCCTGCACGCACCTCTCCGCTCCCCGCGCACCTCCTCCTCTTCCCCCCCCCTCTCCTCATCCCTCTCTCTCCTCACCCCTCTCCCACCCCACCCCACCCCACCCCTACGCACCGCCTCCCTTCCCCTCACCCCTCTCGCCTCCCCACGCGCCCCCGGCCTCGCGCGCGCTCGCGCGCGCGCGCACACACCGCCCGTCTCCCCGCCCACCGCAGGCCTGGTACGGTCCCGGCGACCACAAGTTCGCGCCGCCGCCCGGCGCGCGCCGCTCGTCGGAGACGGCGCCCCTGTCGGCGACATGTCCGGGACACGTCCGGCTCTCTCTCCCACGCCTAGGCTCGGGCTACTCGACGGCGGCGACAACGGAGGCGTCGGCGGGCGGCGGGCTCGGGAGGCGAGTGCGGTCGGTGGTCGACCCGATCGTCAACGCGGTGCACGGCCGCACGCAGCGGACAGTGCTGCTGTCCTTCCGCCGCCAGTTCCAGCGCCTCTCCGCAGGGAACGAGGCCCGGCCGCAGCCTGGCGCGGCCCCGAGGCTGGCCACGGCAACGCCGCCGTGACACGCCCCTCGACACGCTCCATAGGCCGACGGCAGCCAGGCCCGATTCGAGGCGCTCGCTGCGGCGCTTCCGCTCGCCGAGCCTCCCGCCGGCCAGCCTCCCGCCCCCCTCACCGTCGACGTGATGACCGACTTGAGCTGCCCGCTCGCCTACCTCGGCCTGAAGAGGCTCAGCGCTGCGATCGCGTCGCTCGGCCTCGACGCGACCGCGGCGCGGCCGCCTCCCCCCCTCCCACGCCGCACTGCCCCCCCCCCACCATACGCGCGTGACACGCCCGCGCGACACGCCCACGACACGCCCACGACACGCCCACGACACGCCCACGCCACACGCCCACGCCACACGCCCACGACACGCCCACGCCACACGCCCGCGCGACACGTCGATGCGACACGCCCACGACGCGTCCTCTGCAGGTGCGGCTCCGCTTCCACCCTGTCTTCGTCAACCCGCTGATGGACCCCGATGGCGAGGACATGGGGCCCTAGAAGCGGAATACGTGTTCATGTGTATCCCAGCCAGCGCTCGAGAGGAGACGCAGTCTGCTGTACTCGACCGTATTCCGCGGTATTCCTTGTACTCGCAGCCGCTCGTAGCTCACGCGGTGCTCTGAAGACGCCGCACAAGACCGTGCCTCCCGCCCTGACGTCGGTGTCTCCAGCGCGCAGGAGATGGGCGCGTACATGCTCAACCGGCGGAACCTCTCCCTCGCCGAGTACAACGACGCGGCGTACCCGCTCAACGTGGCGGCCGCCGCGCTCAACTTCAGCTACGCAAAGGGGCGGCGCGTCATCCACCCGCGCCGCGCGCACCTCGCCGTCGCCGCGGCGGCCGAGCGCGATCGGGCGCCGCTCTACGCCGCTCTGGCGCGCGCGTACTTTGAGGAGGGGGAGGACATCAGCGACGTGGCCGTGCTGCTGCGAGTGGCGGCCGCGCTCGGCGTCGAGCGCGACGAGCTGCGCCTCCGCCGAGCGATGGACGGCGAGGGCACACTAGATGGGCAGCACGCGCACTCTTCTCTATTCCGACTGGCGCTCGAGAGGGCGCGCAACCCGCTGTCTCCGGCCGTATTCAAGCCGTGCGCACGGCACTCGTAGCCCTCAACCGCACGCACTGATCGCGGTGTGTTCACGCCGCAGGGGCGGAGGGGGAGCTGTCGCGCGCCTCCCGCCGACTCGACCCTCTCGTCGACGCGGTGCCGCACTTCCTCGTCCGCGAGTCCGCCTCCGGCTCCGGCCTCGAGCTGCACGGGCCGCTTGAGGTGCGGCTAGCTGCCGCCAGACGCACGTCCCTGCACCCCTGCGCTCGAGACGACACGCTGCTCGGCGGTATCCCGTCGCCTTCCGCCCTGAGATGTGGCTGCTTCGCTTGTTCCACACCAGTGACGCGGCGCCGTGTCCTCTGACTTTGGTGTATGCGCACTCCAGATCGCCGAGTTTGCCGACGCGCTGCGCACCGTGCGCGACGCGGCGGGCACCCCGCCCCCCGCCGACGGGTTCGGCCTGCAGCAGCCGCCCGGCATGCTGCTGCCCGGCTTTGGCGGCGAGCCGACGCGCGTGCCGACGGCGGACCGGCGCGGCGGCGCGAGCATCGTCGGCCTCAGCCTGCGGGGGTGGGAGGGGCCAGGTGCGTGGCCGTACGTCGCCGGCGACTTCTCTCGCGAGGATGAGGCGGACGACGCGATCAAGTACGCCTCGCCCAGCTTTGCGTCGCACGTCGACGCCGCCGCGTCGGCAAGCCTGACGCAGGTTCACCCCGCCTACCGCACCACCCACGGGACTGAACCCGCACTGGGTTCGAGACCCTGGAGGTATGGTACGCAGGCGTACTCCGCCTACTTCGGCTCGGTGGCCGCCGGCTCGCCGCTCGCCATCCTCGACACGGCGGCGTCGTGGACAAGCCACTACCCGCCGCTGCCGGCCGGCACGCGCGTCGCCGTCCACGGGCTCAACGCGCAAGAGCTCGCGGCGAACGGCGCGGCGACGGAGGTCGCAGTCGGCGACCTGAACAAGGACCCGACGCTGCCGTACACCGACGGCGAGTTCGACGTCGTCACCAACGCGGCGAGCATCGCCTACCTCACCCGGCCGCGAGAGCTCTTTGCAGAGGTGCAGCGCGTGCTCAAGCCGGGACATGTCCAGGACACGTGCACGACAGGTCCGAGACATGTCCCATAGGTGCACCGCGTGCTCAAGCCGGGCGGCCTCGCGCTGGTCTCCTCCACCGCATCCGCCATCACTGCCTATTAGTTTAGCGAATTCATTCATTACGAATCGGGTGGCAGGTCTCCTTTTCGAACCGCGTCTTCGCCGAGAAGGCGACCGCGCTGTGGCTGAGCAAGATCGACGAGGACGTGGCGCTCTGCAGCGTCGTCCGCGCCTTCTTCGCCTTCGGCCCGGCGGGCGGCTGGCGCAACGTGAGCAGCGTCGACCTCAGCCCGCATCCGACCGAGGGCGACCCCCTCTGGATGGTCACGGCCGTCAAGGCCTAGTCTACGCGCGCATCTGCGCGCACCGCGCTCACGCCCTGGCCTCCCCTCTCGCCGGCTGTGGCCGGGAGCATGATCGAGAGGGAAAGCGAGGGGCCCGGGTGTGCGGCACGGTCTCGCCCGCGATGCTGTGGGAGCGTCAGCGCGATCGAAGTTCGGTCGCGGGCGAGCGTGTGTGTGTTCGTGTTCGTGTCGTGTGTGCCACATATGCTCATGGTTGAGCGCGTTTTAACTCCTTTCAATGTACTAGTCACAGTCAGTTCTACGAGGCGCGCGAGTGCATTCGCACCTCCTCGTCGCAGGCGCACAGGCCTTGTCTGTGGTCTCTGGACGTCTGGAGTGTGGAGTCTCTGGACCGTCTTGAGTCGCTCCAGTCGTCCAAGAGCCGCCACCGCCAGGACCGCGGGGAGCCGCATCACGTGGCGGGGCGATGGCGGGGTGCACTTCAGTCGTACACACAGACCACAGGACATACACCTTACAACGCTTAAATCAACCTCTGCCCGCCACGGGGCTTCTCGTTGGAAAACCTGCTATAACTACGAACCGGAAGAATCACTGCGATTGCGCTCTTCGCTCCGCCGCCGCCGCCACCGACGCCCTCCTCCTCCTCCCCCTCCTCCTCCTCCTGCCCCTCCTCCCCCTCCTCCCCCTCCTCCTCCCCCTCCTCTCCTCCTCCCCCTCCTCCTCCTCCCCCTCCTCCTCCTCCCCCTCCTCCTCCTGACCTCCTCCCCCCCCTCCTCCTCCCCCTCCATCTCCTCCCCCTCCCCCTCTTCCTCGCTCCTGCCGTCAGTTTCATCGACATCAATGCTCTCATCGATTTTGTTCCGCATTGCCTCCCACTCTGCTCGATGCGCCCGAGCTTTTCCTGCGTCCTGGTCCTCGACACAGTGCAGCAGCACGTATGGCCTCACCTCTCCTTCCCAAAGCTCGTCGATTGCCGCCGCCAAATCAACGCTGTCACCGCGCAGCGCATCCCCCCAAAAAGGAGATGCCCGTTTGCTCGTCGACGCCCAAGCCACCATCGGCATCGCCGTGCGCGTATGCGAGAAAATGATAACGTGCTCAGCAAAAATCGTGTTCTGTGTGTGTGTGCCCGCATATGACCAATCCATAGTGTGGGCACGCGAGACAGTGCTCAAGAAAGCGCGCACACAGCGTTCCAGCGAGAGCGGTCTCGCCTGCCACTGGCACTGCGGTCTGCGTGGATGGATCTCTCTGTCACAGCTGTGGCGGCGTGGGGCGCGTGGCGCGCGTGTGCGGCGACCTCCCCCAACAGCAGAGACAGCACTCTCTTCTCGCACTCACGTATTGCTTTAACCTCAGAATCCTAGGGGTACCCTAAGTCAAAAACATACACCAGGAGTCCGCATCGCACAGTCACTTCTACGCGGCGAGGGCGGCTGATCGCGCTTGCGACTGGTACTGCCGCCCTCATCCTTACCCTGGTCCTGCGTAGCCTCAGCGTGTCACGTACCACAAAAAGTAATATATCTTTACTTCCAACACCCGGACGTTCCCAGGGTGATGGAAGGTTCGACGCACCCCCGGACTGGGCAGAGAGATCCCAGTGCATCTGCGCTGGGCACTCCACCCCGCCCCCACTTGCGCTGACTGCACAGGATAGCGTGCCCCGACAAACGGCGACACATAGTGGGGGACACTGCGCCGGGGGGTATGCCTAACTTTGGTGCTTTGTGTGGGTCGCGTTCCCTTGGTAGCTGTGTGGCTGAAGCCCTCGTGCCGCTGGCTTGCCCCTTCCAGCGGCTGGCCCCTTGAGACTGCTGGTGCTTGGCGGTAGGAGGGGGAGGGGGAGGCCCGGTGGGAGGAGAGGGAGAGGGAGGCCCGGTGGGAGGGGAGGGAGAGGGAGGCCGCCTTGGGCTCTTCTCCTCCCCCCTCCCTGGGCTCTTCTCCTCTCCCCTCCCTGTGGCGCGGCGCGGCGCGGCGCGGCGAGGCGAGGCGGGCGGCGGCGGCGCGCGATCGTTGCTTTTGCTCGGGTGAGGCGTGGCTTGCGCGCCGCGCAAGGTGATGACGCCGCACGTTGAAAAGTCCTTGGTGAGCCACCGCGGTGGCAGCGAGCCAAGAGCAAGCCACCTGCCGCAGGACGGGTTGACCCGAAAAAAAAATTCTGTCACGTACCACAAGGTACCACAGCGCACACACATAACACATAACGAGCCCCTACGCACAGGTGTACCATTCCTTATATACAGGTTACAGCGCGCCGCACATATAGGTTCCATACTTAGAGGGCCCACAGCGTCCTAATCTAAAATCTGAGGATTAAGGATTCAGACTTCGCTTTAGTGAGGCCAAAGTGAGTTTATGGATGGGTGAGAACGGTACGGGACGCGAGGAGTCACGCGGACCGACTCGTCGGCGACTTTGCTGCACGCCGTCTCAGAATTTTTCTCAGCGTGAGCGAGACGTGGAAGAGTGCCACCGTCGGGTAGAACGGGCCGGCCCGGAGCATCGGAGTAGCCGTCGTGGTCGCGGCGAGCAGCGCCGGCCACTCCGGCGCCGCGTCGGCAACATGGGAGCATGTCCACCGCCACTTCGCGGTCACAGCGCTGTTTGTCGCCCAACCAAACGCCTAATATGTACCTCTTGCGGGCCAAAGATCGACTCGCATGTCGATTTCGACTTGACGGGCGCATGCAGGCATCACGTCTCCATGCGCCCGTCAAGTCGGAGCCAGTCTGCGGCGACCACAGCCCTCGCAGGAGGACATTAGCTTGTGAGAGTCAAGCGATGGCGCGAAATCCCACAGTCGTGGATTTTAAAACAAACAAACTCTGGATTTTGGGGCGACGCGCTGTGTGGGCCCCCAGCCAATACTTCCAAGGGTAAAGTGCGACTTGTTGCTCTAGCCTCTAGCTAGGCATGGGGCCTGCTAAGGTGAAGAAATCCGACCAGTCTGCTTGGGACCTAAATCACACAGTTTTATATAGACACGGGCCGAGTGAGTGATTCTGAGATCAGGTTGGGCGTTTCCCCTTTGGAGGCAGACATTTCAGAAAGCGAATCCCCGGCCGCATCTCCCCGCTCGAAGCGGGGAACCCGTCTCGGGCGCCCGCTGGAAGCTGGGGGCGCCCGCTCGAAGCTGGGGGCGCCCGCTCGAAGCTGTGGCGGCGCAGGCTGCCACCGCTGCCCGGGCGCGCCGAGCGGCGGCGGAGGGCCGCCCAGGCCACCACCAGTGCCTCTCCCACCGGCGGCGCGGCGGCAGCGGCGCCGACCGCCCCTCCATCAGCGGCGGCGCGAGGCTGTCGTCGGGACGCCGGCAGGTGACGCGCGAATAGGGTGCCACCGGACCGGCCGACGAGCACCCAGCGGAGCCGTCATCGTGCATGGCGAGCCGAGCACCGCCGCGTCGCTTCTCGGCGCATTGGAGAGCAGAGGAAGCTGCTGGCGTCGCGGCTGGGATCGGCAGCGGCGCCAGCAGCTTTCTCGGATCTGAAGCGACTTTGAGCGCCGATCGATCGATCTGAGGGCTGACCGATGGGTGGCGCTGGGAGGAAGACCGCGCCACCCGTCGGCCAGCCCTCAGCTCCGTGACGGCGACTCGATAGTCGTGGCCGGCGCTCGGCTGCCACTCTAAGCTGTGTCGCCAGCGCTCCTGGAACCGTGACGTCACTTCTTATGGATGCGGCACTAGGGACGCCCAATGTTTTCGTAAATATAGACGCCTCTCTCTCGCGTGTGGAAGCCACGACTGCGTAGTCGTGCTCCCCCGGAGCACGCCATAGAGCGCCGGTTGTGTACCGGGCGCACCCGCAGCCGTACACACTGCTGCCACCTGCCAGGGGGGCGCCGCAGGCGCCCCAAGCGGCGCGGAGCGCCGCCGCAGGCGGCGGACAGCAGGTGCGCAAAATTAAACGCCATTTTCGGTTCCGCAGTTTTGCCACTAACGTCGAAATCCGGTACAAATCGAGACTTACGACGAGGTTACGGAGCCGAGCCCCCCACGAAAACCACAGAGGGGCGCGCGGACAGCGCGCCGCCAGGGGCGCCGCAGGCGCCTCAAGCGGTGCGGAGCGCCGCCGCAGGCGGCGGACAGCAGGTGCGCGAAATTAAACGCCATTTTCGGTTCCGCGGTTTTGGCACTGTCTACCAACTTTGGTACAATCTACAAATCGACTTGCACTTGGTCTGAGCCCTGCGCTGCGTTTGAGCCTCCATTCTGAAAGTGTACGTAGAAGGGAAGGCAGCAGGTCCGGCTTGCGAACTCCGCTGTGCGCCGACAAGCGGTATGGCGCCGAGTAGAGGCCATTTTCCTATTAGAAAAGGCTGTCGAGAGCGCAAAATTTTCTTCGCTGCGCGCCCAACCATGGTGGGCACGCAGCGGGCGCCCGCGGCGCCAAATTTTTGAAATGTCTGCCAGTCGCCCAACCTGATCTCAGAATCACTCGAGTACCCGGATGCGTACGGTCTCGCCATGGCGGATCCGGATGCCACTTCGGATGCCCACCCAACCGGAACCAAGAACACCATCACAGTATCCTCTGCCGCGTCCGACGCTCCCCGTCTCGCCGCTCAACGCTTCGCCTTGGTCTTGTACCTTCGCCGCCGCGCCTTGCGCGGCCGGCAGCCTCCGTGCGGCACCGAGTCGGCGAGCCGGAGCTTCATGATGCGGAGGGAGGACTGCTCGCGCAGGGAGCGGAGCAGCGGCTTGCGCAGGATGACGGCGGGGCCGGTCATGTTGATCATCACCTTCTGCATGCCCAGCTGCGGGGCGGGACACGCGTCACAAGAACCGGCGCCGCGCCGGTGAGCGGCGGGCGGGAGGCGACACACACGTGCCGGGCGCGGGTGTGTGTGTGTGTGCGTTGCTGCGGGGTGGTGGGGAGGCGCCGGGCGGGCGGGATCCGCGCTGTGCGAGGTGCTGCGCTGCGTGCGGGCGCGGGGTGCGGGCGCCGCTCGCACCGATCGTGCCTTCTGGAAGGCGTCGCCGAGGCACTTTTCCATCGCAAAGACCGACGAGCGCTTGGACTTTTTGAAGCCGGCGGTGCCGCAGGAGGTCCAGCCCTTGACCTTGTACTCCGTGTCGGTGATGGTCACCAGCGTGTTGTTCCACGTGTTGCGGATGGAGAGCACGCCGGCCACGCTGCGCTTGCTGCGCTTGGCGGCGGCGGCGGCGGCGGGCTGCATCGGCCGGTCCAGCCCGGCCGCGCTGCTGGAGAGCGGCCGCGCGAGCAGCAGGCGGGGCGCGGGCGGCAGCCGCGGCGGCGCGGGCGGCGGCAGCAGCAGCCGGGGCGCGGGCGGCAGCAGCCGGGGCGCGGGCCGCAGCGCTAGTCTCAGCATCGCTCGGCTCGGCGAGAGACCAAAAAAAATTTTAATTCCCTCGCACAACACTGGGTAGCGCGGCGGCCGCGGCCGCGGCGGCGGCGGCGGCGAGGTCAAGAGCAACAAGAAGGACTGGGCGAGCGTCGCCCGCGGAGCCGCACGCTCCCCCTACGACGGCGGTCCACGCCTCGAGTCCAACGAGCCCTCGCTATACCCTATACGAGGCTCGAGGGGAGCGACGAGGAGCTCTAGGAACGGCCGCCGAGCCCTTCCCGCAGCGCATCCCTAGCAGCGCAGCGGGCAGGGCGGCTCGCGCAGCGCGCGCTATCGCGCAAGCAGCGCGCGCGAGCGAGCGAGCGAGCACACACACACACACACACACACACACACACACACACACACACACACACACACACACACACACACACACACACACACACACACACACACACACACTCCTACCTCCCCAGAAATCCCGAGGAGGCGCACAGCGCCTAGATATGTCTTGTGTTGCTGTGTGCTGCACGCCCTGCGAGCGGGGCGGGGTGCGCACTGACCCTCTATGTTCGTGTGCGTCGCCCATCTCTCCCTGGAGATGACTGCTCTATTTATTTATTTATTACTGGGCCCAGTGTTGTGCCAAAAAAAGAAATTTGACGCGCAAAAGAAAGAGAGAAGTAACAGACAAACCCAGACGAGGGATGGGGCAGGAGGACAGGGTCCACACCTGCACGAGCAGGATTTTGGAAGGACGATCAGGGGCACAGGTGGCTCTGCTCCTGACAAGGGACACGACAGGCTCGCAGCGCGGTGCACGGTGGACTCCCGACTCCACTGGCGGTCTCATCTCAGTCTAGCGACCTGCCTCCAGCTTCGACCTGTGCAGCAAGTATTTTCCAGCCGATGGGTTCGATTTTCTTTTTTCGCCTCGTTTTCTTTTTTAGTGCACTCAGACCAACAAGAAATCACGTTCATTCACGACTTGTGTGTGAGAGAGATTTTTATTAACCAACAAGAAATCACGACTCTCACAGTGATTTGGGCTCGGCAGCTTGTTAGCAGCCGAGAGAGCCCGCGCCGATGAGTTCGACGCGGTCGGGGGGGCCTGCGGAGAGGCCAGCGAGTTGGCGATCGCTGTACTTCATGGCGCCCTCAAAGTGGGGCTGGCTGACAAGCCAGAGGTCGATACTCTGGACGACCCATAGGATGCCACGAATGCCTGAAGGAGAGGGAGGCGAGGCTAGAGGCAGGCTCAGCTGCTCTCGGGTGATCCCGCTTTGGAGGCTGAAGGACCCGATGGTCCTGTCACATTCGCGTTCCGAGTCGTGGGGGTAGAAAAATTCGAGTAGAAATCGAGTCAGCACTTCCTTGTAGTACAGCGGACCGCCAGGCTCGCCGGCAGCATCCGCAGGGAGGCAGCATATGTGTGTGTGTGCGCGCGCGCGGGCGTAGTGCGAGCCGCCCCGAACGACCACATGGTGAGCGCGCCCGAGCACCGAAGCCCCGCGAGCGCCGGCGAGCACCGCCGCCCGCGCCTTGGCGTGGAGCGGTAGTAGATGATGGTTGCGGCGCGCAGCAAGAGCAAGAAACCTAGGGTTAAGGTTGCTCCCGGCCCAGTGGGGATTTTGGCGTACTCAGTGACCGTCTAGGAATCCTAAATGGCCGGCAATGCCATATCTTTTGTGCCTAGGTTGTAGAGCACCTTAAAAAACTAGTATGTCTTGGAGTGAAAAGTTTTTCGATGAGGTGGGGATCCGTGGTGAGCAGATTCCCAGATTCTCCAGATTCCCCCTCGAAAACCGCCCATTTTAATTCACTGCGGCCGCGGGTTTGCTCGGATTACTTTTCACTCGAAGACATACTAGTTTTTTGGCGTTCCGGTGCCTACAAAAAATATCCGAGATCATATGGAGCTGACCACAGGGTTTGCGGCGGTCACTGTCCTACCAGCGGGCACGAGGCAGAGGAGAGCGACGCGACAGGGGAAGAAGCGACAAGGGAGAGCACGACGAGAAGGGGGCGACCGCGAGGTGGCACGAAGATCGCAGCGAGAATCGGCGAGGGACTGCGAAGAGAGTTAGGAAGAGGCGGACGCCCAAGGGTGGGCGACGGCTAGTGCACCACACCCCTCTCCTTAAAATCCCTGTGTGGTGGCGGCGTGCCGTCCTCCCGTCCCTCCTTTGTGTTGTTGTGTCCTTTCTTTCTTTTCTGTCGTACGTCACCGGGCTTGCACTTGCGGGGGGGCGGGCTCCATCCCTCCCATCCCTCCCCACGAGCAAGAAACCTAAGAGGTAATTCCGTTGCTCACGGGATCTCGCGCCCCCAGCGCTCCGTCGCTTCAGACCTCGCGAAGCGTCACCCTCAGACCTCGCGTGGCAGCCGACTCTCCTCATGGGCGGAGGAGGCCGCACATCCTCCTTCGCGCCCAGCCACAGCCTCAACACCTCTACACCCTTTCTCCTCGGCAGCGCGCTCGCCTCGGCCCTCTTCGCGTGCCTGGCGTCGCACACCGCCGTCAGCCTCTCTGCGGTGGCTGCAGTCGCCAGCGTGGTTCTCTGCATCTCTGCTGGCCTCCGCTGGGTCGTTGGTGACCCATTGCGCGACACCGCCGCGCACGGCTTCGGCCCTCGATGTACCGCGCTGGCCGCCGCCGCGACGCCCACAGCGCCGAAGCTCGACAACAACGGCAGCTGCGACGGCGGCGAGCCGCCCGCAGACCTGTCCCAGGAGGAGCTGCTGCTGCTGCAGTACTTCTTCGCGATCACCTTCCGGCTGGGCGACGACGAAGCGGCGATCTCCAGCATCTGGTGCATGACGGGCGGCGGCAAGCCGCTTCCGAGCGCGCCAGACCAGCTCAACTTTACCGCGATCCGGTACCACCTCTCGTTCGTCGCGTACGCCACCGCCGCCATCTGCATGCGCACCCCGCTCCTCAAGGCGCAGGGCGGCGCGGTGCTCGGCTGGGTCATGCGCCAGCTCCTCTCTCCCCGCGTCTTTCGGTACTGCGACTTTTACTGGCCGGCGGACGGCTCCGCCTCCTAGAAGCGGAATACGCATACACGTCTCCCAACCATGTCTCCCAGCTCGTCTTCAGCCGTATTCCGCTGTATTCACTGCACTCCTGTCCGTTGTATTCACGCGGTGCTCTGAATACGCTGCACAACACCGTCTTCCCGCCCTCCTCTTTGCGTCTCCGCCACGCAGGCTCGCCCTTCTATTCACAGCTGCCGTTCTATTCACACCACGCAGGCTCGCCCTTCGCCTGCCGCGAGAATGTCATGTGGACCGGCCACCTCCTGCACGTCGCGACGCTCTACGAGGCGCTGACCGGGGACGACAAGTACCGCCAGCCGGGAGGGCTGCGCCTCGTGGACGGGCGCGGCCGGGAGTGGAGCAGCGACGCCGAGGCGTTCGGCCTGCACTTCACCGCCTGCATGCGGACACTTCCTGGACAGTTCCTAGCCAGTACCTAGGCGCTCGGCCTGCACCTCGCCGCCTGCATGCGGGTCAACGCGGCGGGAGGGGTGCCCTGCGAGCCCGGCCTGGTCTTCTTCCAGTGCCAGAACCACGCCATGTGCGGCCTGCGCTTGCTCGAGGCGCTCGGCGGCTCGACACTTCCTAGACACTTGCTGGACACCTCCTAGACACTTGCTGGACACTTCCTAGACACTTGCCGGACGCTTCCTAGGCGCTAGGCGGCTCGCGCGTGCCGCACGGCTTCTTCGGCCCCGAGCGCCGCCGTTTCCTCCAGTTCGCCACCGGCGGCATGCGGGCCGTTGTCGGCACGGGCGGACTCAAGGCAAGCTAGACGCCTGCAAGACACCTGCAAGACACCTGCAAGACACCTGCAAGACACTGGCTAGAGTCTGGCTAGACACTTGCTGGACACTTGCAAGACGCTTGCTAGACATTTGCAAGAAACCTGCTAGACACTTGCTAGACACTTGCTGCTCACGCCTGCAGCCCTGGCCAGGTCGTGGTAGTGACGACGCCGCAGCACACGGAGCCGTTCTGCGCGCCCTTTGCGCGCGAGCGGGCGCACCTCGAGGAGCGACTCGCCTCCGCGGCGCGGGCAGGGTGCGAAACCATCGCCGGCGAGCACCCGGCTGGCCCGTCGGACGTGTCCGAGGCACGTCCGTGACATGCCCGAGACATGTCCGACAGGAAAGCACCGCCCGCCTGGCCCGTCGCCGTCGCGTGTGCTCGGTTCGGTCCCGTTCGCGCACTTGGGCAGCGACGGGTGGGACCTGACCTACCTCGGCTGGTGGGCCGACAGCGGCCGTTTGGCGGGCGAGCTGTACACGCTCGCCGTGCAGCCCAAGGAGAGTGGCGCCCGGGGGGGGGGGGAGGGGGGCGTGGACGGCGTCTCTTCACAGACGCGGGTGTGGGCAGGTGTCGCGCGGCGCGTGGGGCTACGGCGAGCACCCTTCCCTCGACTCTCGGCCGCCGCTCGCGTGCTGCGTCGGCCTCAACATCCCTAAGTCGGCCTACTCCGCGCAGATCCTGCCGATGCTCCGCCAGCTCGGCGACGGCTCCAACGCCGACCGCGTCGAGGCGTGGCTGCGGCGCCACTTCCGGCGCGAGGCGCCGGCGCAGTCGCACCAGGGCGGCGGCGGCGAGGGCGGAGGCGGCGAGGGCGGAGGCGGCGAGGCGCTGTCGTGCAGTCCTGAGGCCGAGCTCCGCGCCTGCTCCTCTGGCTGCGGCTCTGCCGGCCTCGGGCCGGTGGCGGGGGGCACGGCGGACGGGCGCACGGCGGACGGGCGCACGGCGGCGGAGCGCGGCGCGAAGCGTGCGCCGCGCGGCTGCGTCTGGCTGCAGGAGGGCGACGAGTGGGCGATCGGAAACACGGCGAACTACGCGATGGCGGTCGCCGTCGCCAACGGCAGCGACTTGCGCGCGCTACACCAGGGCGGGTCGGAGCAGTACCGCGCAGCCGAGGCTGGCGGCGTGCGCGGCGTGGGCGTCTCGCCGCTCGACGCAGAGGTCTTCCGCTGCCGCAGGGGCGCGTCGCCGGGTGAGGTCGAGGTTGGGCTCTGGATGGGCGAGGGCGGCTTGACCGAGGCGACGCTGTGGGCGGAGGGCCGTGCCGTCGACTCGCTCACGCTGCTGTCGGCCGACGGCGGCGGCGGCGGCGGCGGCGGCGGCGGCGGCGGCGGCGGCGGCGGTTGGGCGTGGCGCCCCGCCGCCCCGCCGTGCCGTGGCGCGACGGTGACGGTGGAGGGGCCGCGCCGGCGGCTTGTCTTTGCGGTGCGGGTCAAGTGAGGGCCGGGCGGAGGGTGGCGGCCTCACCTGCACACTGAGGCGGCCGTGGTGATTTGATCAATTGATGTCTTCCCACCGGGTCAGGGGTGCGCGAATGTGTGCCTTTACAGACCGGTCCTCTCGTATCTCCGCACTATGTTTCTCACTGAGGGCCTGAACCACCGCTTGCACCAGTCTAATATTGTTACTCAGCCATAACCTGAGATGGTGTTTTATACGCGGCAAACAGCGCCTGATCATAAATCATATAGAGAAAAACACGCTGACTAAGAAGGCTGAAGGGTTGGCAGCGAGATCTTCTTCTCTTGCTTGGACTTGGTGCCTCTCTCTACCGTATCGTACGACTGTATGATATAAAAAATCTCACAGCGGCTCATGGCTCATGCGTACACCTGACATCTCGACTGACGTACTTATTGAAAGACGAAATCTATGGGAAGGTCATGGGCTGGCGATGCAGCGGTGCCGGCACCTTCCCTCTCCCAGCCTGAGCTCTCCCACGGATCTTCAGCTGTGCAGCTGCAGATGTACCGTGGCAGGCCTGGCGGGAATCCACACCGAATTCTTTTGCCGCCACTTCCGCACCGAAATCTCCCCCGGCAATTCGCGACCCAGATGGCGCTACTGTTGAGACAGTCAAAGCTGTGACCAAGGATGCAGCTTGCCTGGCTCGTCTGCTTCATGAGCTTGACTTCGCAGCTAGAATTCCTGCCAACAGCTCGAGCAGCGGGCGCCGCGGCGCGGTGCTTCCGGTTCCTCTGCTCGATCTTTGTGCGGCGCTCCGCCGAGCCCTCCTTTGAATTTCTGAATTCCAGAGCGGCAAGACTATTGTGACGCCCGCGGGGCTGCCCGTTTCGGTCGCGGTCCGCGCCGCCGCGGTCGAGCGCCTTATGGTACGGGAAGCGCCTGTTTTGTGGCGGACGCTTTTGTGGCGGACGCCTCCTTTGGTGTGCGCGAGAGCCGTTCACCCGCGCGGCCTCTCGCGGATCCGCCCGAAGCTTTGGTGCTGCTGTGCCTTGCGAGCCGTTCTGGGGTGGCTCCTCCTCGGCCTTCAAGTACGCGTTTCGCCATGCCTGGAACGCCTCGTTCACTTGCGCGACGTAGCGTGGCGCGTTTTCTAGCAGAACTTTCCGCGCGAGAAAGCATTTTCCGCTCCACCGAGCACGTTGGCAAACACTGGATGACGAGCGGCGGGCAGGATCGTGCGCATCCACCCCGCTGACTGCCAGAGGGTTGAAAGAGACTGCCTGCTGCCTCGTCATGGCGTTTGTGGTGTCCCGCCACGCGTACTCGAGCTGTGACGAATTGTCCTGATGGCATGCAGTCGCGACCGCTTCCCTGTCGAAGAAGCCAAACACAGGCACGCACCGTTTACGCGGACCGCGCCAGATCTGCTTGCCGGGGCGCAGAGCTGGGGATGGGGTGGTCGGCAGCGGCACTCCGGCCCAGTGCAGGATAGACACGGAAATATCGGCATGCCGATGCGGGCCGGGCACCCACCTCGGCGTCTCTGCGCCGCGTTCACGCTGGGAAGCCACGGCGCGGAAGGGATCGTAGATCACTAGCGGCACCCTGACGCAGTGCAGCTCCACACAGCCGCCGTGCTGTAACGGGGCGAGCCCGTTCTCCGCAAAATGCTCCCCGTGGTCGCCGACGACGATGAAGAGCACTCGTCCCGCCAGCGCGCGGTTGGCCTCGAGGCCTTCAAACACACTCCGCACGAGGCCATCACTCTCGCGCAGCCGCTCCAGGTAGTCGGGAAGTTTCCCTCCATCCACGTAGTCGCCTCGCAGGTTGCTCACAAATCGCGACGTGTTGCGGGGCGTGCGCTTGAGCACGTGCGGTCGGAAGGGAAAGTGGGAGCCTGAGGTGAACAAAGCGGCCAGAAATGGCGACCCGCTCGCCGCTGCCTGGCGTGCGAAGTCCAGCGCCGGCCGAACCAGGAGCGTGTCGTCAACGGCCTTGACCTTGCCCCACCCCTTGCCCGCGGCATTCCGGTGCACACTGCACGGGTCGGCAAGACAACGGCCTAGCTGGCCAGCCTTCAGACTGGCCCCGACCACGCCGCCACAAACGGTGGAGAAGCCTGCTTCGTCGCTCGTAGCAGAGGCTGTCTCGAGCATCTCCAGCAGCGCCTGGTGCGGAGGCGCGACACCCAACTGCGTCAGCGCTCCGTAGCATTCCTCACTGAGGGTGAGGGTGAGGCGTCGGCACTCGCTGTTGTTCAGGTAGCGCGCACAGCTGGCCTCGAGCGACTGCGAGCCGAGAACCTCGTCAAAGCCCAGCGAGTGCTGATACGTCGACGGGTTGTCCGCCGTGCTCGACAGAAACATGCTTTTCCAGGGGGCTCGCTGCTGCCTGAGCAGATGGGGCAAACACTGGCGCTGCATGAATTCAACCCACCCTTCGTGCCTGAGCTTACCCATCTTGAACTCCGTCCATCCTGTTTGGAGCTCCGGCTGCAGCCCACAGAGAAGTTCAAAGAGCACCTTGTTTGAATTGGGGATCGAGCTGAAGGCAGCTCGCGAGGCAACAGCTCCAGAACGGGCGGCAAGCTGGCTTAGGAATGGCGCGGTTGGCGCACCCAGTGGTGAGGCATACAGAGGCGTCATGGCATCTGCCGATGCAGACTCGAGCACGACAAGCACGACGCCCCCCGGAGCCACGTAGTCTTTTGACCGCCGCCTCCCGGTTCCGTCCGAGTCGGGGTCGGTGGCGTCGGGGATGCCGTCGCTGTCCGTGTCGCGTCTGCAGAGTGCCCTGGACCGAAAGATGCACGGCCTGACCACGTAATCTTTTGACCGCCGCCTCCCGGTTCCTGCTCGAGGCTCGTGACTGCCCCCCAAAAGGGAATCGACAAGCCCTCCGCCTGCGTCGACTCCAACTAATTCTGACGTAGGGAGTGCCAGTCTTACTAGCACGCTAGGAGAGCAGCTGCTGCACTGCCCCACCGCCCGGGAATAGATTGTCAAGGGCAGCAGCAACGCCAGCCACAGGATGCATGCGACAGATGGCGCCTTGGTGTGTCGCCGTGCGACCCTGCGGAGGAGAGCGACCGCGGCGACGTGCAGAGCCACGAATAAGATAGCCGTCGCCGCAGGGAGGCCCAAGGAGAGGTGCGCAAGCTGCGCGAAGACAATCTGGTGAGAGCTCGGCACTGTGGCGATAGTGTCAAGACCAAAGGTGATGAGGTCACTGCTGAGCCCCGTCCCCAGGCTCGCTCGCACCGCGAAGTCGGCAGCAACGAGGAAAAGGGCTCCCACCGCCAGCATGTGAGCCGCGGCACTCATGCCCAGGCGTTCCGCACACAGCACGACCAGCGCCAGGCCACACATCGAAATGCACACGTCCAGCCACCCGCAGGCGCCGCAGTGCATTTTCGTGAGATTGAATAGTAACAGCCCGCCTGTCTCTAGCAGCAAGACGCTTGCATGCGCCGACATGGTATTAGCTCACGTCTGACGACAGGAGCCCCACGTTTAAATCCCTGTGTGTGGCGGCGTGCCGTCCTCCCATCCCGGCGTGTATGTTTTCTTTCTTTTTTTTAGGAGCCCCACGGCATTAAAAGTGCAAGGCCCAGTGCGCGTGGGTGAGCGGTGTGTGTGTGTGTGTGTGGTGTGTGTGTGTGTGTGTGTGTGTGTGTGTGTGTGTGTGTGTGTGTGTGTGTGTGTGTGTGTGTGTGTGTGTGTGTGTGTGTGTGTGTGTGTGTGTGTGTGTGTGGGGTGTGTGTGTGTGTGTGTGTGTGTGTGTGTGTGTGTGTGTGTGTGTGTGTGTGTGTGTGTGTGTGTGTGTGTGTGTGTGTGTGTGTGTGTGTGTGTGTGTGTTGGTGTGTGTGTGTGTGTGTGTGTGTGGTGTGTGTGTGTGTGTGTGTGTGTGTGTGTGTGTGTGTGTGTGTGTGTGTGTCGGGTTTACTAATCGAGATACTGTAGTGATATTGATATCCCACGGACGAGAAGTTGCCGAGAAGTCCCCGCAATAGGAAAAAGAAAAAGTAATGAGGCAGACCACCACGCCATCAGGGAGACTACGCGCAGGGCGCCGACGGCCGCACGACCCCCGAAAACAAAGGCGTTCCGCGCGCCCGACATGCGCCAGCCGGCCCTAGCGCGTCATCTCCTGCGCGCGAGCACGTAGATCTCGCCGCCCGGCCCCCTCGCGACACGCAGCCCTTCGTCCAGGTACGTCGTCTCCAGGTAGACTGCGCTGCTCGTCAGGCTCTCGAGCGCGTCAACGGCCGCCGAAGGCAGAGCCGCCTCCAGCCTCACTCCGTCTGGCAAGCCCCACGGCACAAAGGGAAGCCACGGCCGCACGCGAAGCTTCGAAAAGACCAGGCTGACGCGGCGTCCGCTAAGGCGACGGCAGGTGGCGCCGACGCAGTACTCGGTCGCGGCGCGAGGCAGCTGAAGCGAGGCGGCCGCCGCGAGCGACGAGAGCGGCGGCAGCAGCTCGACGATGTTCTCGGCCTGCAGTTCGCCCGCAGAGGCGCCGGCGCGGACGTTTTGCGAGATGCGTCCAACCTCGAGGGGCGAGAGACCGAGGCTGAGGACGTCGAACGCGTCGGTGAACTCGAGGTCCCACTCGCCCAACAGCAGCGGCGAGTCGACCGGCTCCGGCTCAGGATTGGCAGCCTCGACCGCCTCCACCTTTTGGCGGAGCTCCTCGAGTGCGCCGTCGACGCGAAAGCCGCGCTCCGCTCGCGCCGCGCTGAGACGTAGGTCCGCCACCAGCGCAGCGGATTTGCCATCGTCCACCTCCGCGTCGGTGGCCGTGTCGGAAGGCGCGCAGCAGAGAATGGAGCTGCGCCGTGCTGCGGTTACGGGCAGCTGGAGGCCGGCGGCCGCGGCGAGGATCAGCATCGGTACGACAACCAGCCGGCTGTGTAGCTCGTGAGCGCTGTCAGAGTGTTTCGACACCGATCGAGCCGAGAGCAACTTTTCACAGGGGGTCGCATATCACATACACCTGACTGACCCCACACACGGTCTCGTCCGTGCCTCGCCGGCGGCGAGATTGCTAGAGGCGGAGCAAGCCTGCTCTAGTCTCACATGTTACTTGCTGCCGTCTGTTGTTTGTTGTGGCCTTGTTTGTTCCTTTGGCACCTTGGAGTGCTGGGGGGGGCGACAGGGAGGGAGGATGAACCAGGATGTGGCCCTGCCTGAGTTATGTGTACGCCGACTCAGGGTGTGTGGCAGCCACGCTGGCTGTGTGTCTTGTGAGCTTGTTTTGTGTCTGTGTGTCGCTCGTGCGTGTCGTCATCATCTGTCCCGCGTCCACCCATAACGCGCTGGTGTCCAGTCCGAGCCTGACTGTTCTTCACCTTTCTACCTACCTACCTCAGAGAGAGGGGGAGGGGTCTGAGGCGGGGGCCCAGATCTGCTCGTCTCAGAGGGTACCCTCTGTGCCAAGAGAGGCCATCCACGAGCGGCTCAGAGGGTACCTGGGCCGACCCTCTGAAGGCCTGTGCCCCCAAGCAGCCTCTCTCGGCGCAGCCTCTGAGGCTACGGGGACCCTCTGAGACGCCAAGGCAAGCCCCGCGAGGCCGCTCCTCAGAGGGAGTTTTCAGCGGTATTTCAAGTCTGTCGTGATCCCCCACCAAGGACCAAGCAGCAAGAACCCCCCCCAGCAGGCCCAGCTTCCATTGGTTTCGGATACCTCAAGTTCGAGTTCACTAGGACGCCGCGGCGCCTCATGGCCAAGCTGGAGCAGGGGACGGATGTGGAGATCACTACCTCCTCCTCGGGCGGCCGCTCCAAGCACATCCTCACTCAAGTTGACGGGTCGGCGGCGCCGCTGGCCGCGCGAAGCTGTCGCACGCGCAGGGCTCGGTGCGGGCGCTGTGGGCGAGCCTGCAGCAGCAGCAAGCGGCGTGTGTGGTGCCGGGCGCTCGAAGCGTATAGAATAGCGCCTTAGTCAATGCTCGCTGCTTCCGCCCCCTCCCCGCCCTCCCTGGTCAGCGCCGTTCGTGGAGGGCTAGGCGCTCCGGCCTCCGCCCGGGGCTCTCGCCTCTGTCTGCCGAGAGGGGGCTACCCTCTGAGGTCAACGCCCTCAGTGCCGCGCCAAGACAGACCCTCGGACGGGGACCCTCTGAGGCCAAAATCAGCCAAGAGAGGCCACAGAGGCGGCACAGAGTCAGAGTCAAACCCTCTGTGCCGCCAAGCCAGGGGTCCGACCCTCCTCAGAGGGGGGTCTGAGGCCTCAGAGCGTCTACAACCCCCTCACCGATATCGTTCAAGGTGCGAAAAGAATGTCTTTCCGACCTAGGCCGGGCGGTGGGGCGCCGAACGTACTGAACGTATAGAGCCGAACGGGAGGAAGCCGGGGAAGACGACTCCGAGGCGGACGAAACACCAGTGGTAATCCCGCCGTCAGCTGTCACGATATACCCGTACCCGAAGGAAGGGAACCCCAGTGCCAACACCGACCGTTGAGGTACAAGTGCTCGAAAAGAGAGTGGACCTGAGCAACGACATGACTTGGAGGCAAATGATCGGAGTGGGAGTCAGAAATGTGGTCCTTGCGCGAGGAGAGCTCGATAAACTCGAGGGGCCAAAATATGCCGAGAGGAGGGCGGAGTTACGCCGAGCGAGAGGCGAGAGAAGCAGCGAGAGCAAGGGATCGGCAGACGGCAGCGGCGTCTCAGAACGAGGCCGAGGAGAGCGATGTGAGTCAGAGAATGAAACAGCAGGAGAGAGAACGAGGACGAGAGTGGGACGACCACACGAGGTGGCATGAAGGTCGCTGCGAGAATTGGCGAGAAACTGCGAACCAGATAGGAAGAGGTGGGCGCCCGAGGGTGGTCGCAGGCTAGCACCGCACTTCTCTCCTTGAAATCCCTGTGTGGTGGCGGCGTGCCGTCCTCCCATCCGCATCCCTCCCTTGGGTTGTCTGTTTTCTTTCTTTTGGGGGGGCGGGCGCGGGGTGCGGGGGGGGCGGTGCGGTGTGAGCAATCGTGTGTACCTTCGCTTGTTTCTATTAACATCGAAGTCTAGCTCAAAAAGAATTCTGCGGCCGACATCGGTTTGTATTATTAACAACGAAGGCGCTCTCAAAACAGAATTTTGAGGAGGTGGCACACGCACGATTCACAGCCTTGTTATTGAGAAGAAAATACGTCCTATGGCGCTGTGCGCTGCCGCTGGTCTGTGAGAGGTTGAGGTTCACACGACAGACAAGGCGCAGACGACGTGCGAAAAAGAAATTTATGGTCGCGGCTCCCTCGCACAACACTGGGCACGGGGACTGGCGCGCACTGGCACTAACACAGGTACACCATGTGCGAAAAAGAATTTGAAACTCATGGTTGTGTTGAGGTTGATATGACGGCACACTCCACAAGTGCTCCAAGTGCCCGCCTCGTTCGCACCAGCTTGGACACGTGGCTGTCTCGTGGGGCTGATTTGCGCGCAAATCACTGCTGTGGCCTGTGCGAAAAATGACAAAGAAGAATTCTGAGTCGAAAATCCCGTACGCCGTAAGGATAAGGTCAGGGAAAATAAACAGTGCTCGCCGCCCGGGCCGAGCAACCACAATGCGCGACGACGCCGAAAGGGGTAATGGCCGTCAGGGGCGGCGCGCCTCCAACGCGGTGTAGGCGATCGCCCCGTCGCGGAGCAAGATCTCGCGTGCCTATTCCCGAGGTATAGCCGAGATATAGCCGAGATCTCGCGCGCCAATTCCCGTTGTCCCGTCCCGGTCTAATCCACGTCTGCTGTCGCTACCATGCTTGGGCGCGGACAGGGTCCGACCTTTGGGAGTCAGGCTGCCTGCTACTGCTAGATCTCGCGCGCCAGCCCGCCGACGTAGCTTGACAGGTACGCCTCGGGCGTGGTCAGCGGCAGCGGCAGGGAGAGCAAGTGCGCCGCTCGCAGCAGCAGCCAGCACGGCAGCAGCGTCGCCTATTCAGTCCTCAGCCAGCATGGTGACTTGTCAACGAGCCCGTTGTCACCAGCCAGCATGGGGGCAGCAGGGTCGCCCAGGGACGGTGCCTCAGCCCGTACTCCTCGCCGAGGTCGACGGTTGACGTCAAAGAGAGGCTCGCTTGCTCCAGCGCCGCCTGCAAAGGGGAGGGGGCTGCGCGGTGAGGGAGAGGCGACGGGGGCGAGAGAGAGGCAGAGGCAGAGGCAGAGGCAGAGAGGCAGCAGGTTAACGGCGAGGCAGCGGTCAGCGATCGCCACCTGCCAACCCTGCCTGCTACAGCTACCACACTGCAGCGCCGCCTGCCGCTGCGCGGTGTCGACCGGCGGGGCCAGATCTCGCCATCATATCTCCCCATATCTCCCCACATCTCCACCTGCCGCTGCGCGGTGTCGACCGGCGGGGCCAGATCTCGCCATCATATCTCCCCATATCTCCACACATCTCCACCTGCCACCGCGCGGTGTCGGCCGGCGGGGCCCACGCCGCCGTCTGAGGCCCGCACCAGTGGCGCCTACTCGCGCCGCGCGTACTTCTTTTCGTGCGCGCATTTCTTTTTTAGAGCCGGACCAGTGTCGCCTGCACACAGCGGCGGAGTGGGTACACCGCGCAAGGGTCGGGCAGGGTGTGTGTGTGTGTGTGTGTGTGCGTGTGTGAGTGTTGAGGAGCCGAGTAAGCGTGGTGCACGCGGGGTCATCTCGGGCAATCTCGGGTACTCTCGCCAGTACGCGTGGAGAGCACCCAAGTGGTGCGACCACGTCCCCGTGGCGGCGGTGCGGAGCAGGTCCTAACGGCGTGACAGGCATTCCCGTCGCCGGGGCGTGTCCCCGGTCTGACTGCGGCTCTCTACGCTCCGTGCGTGCGTGGGAGAAAGGGTGGGTGGAGGGGGGGGTCCTTGGGGTTGTGTGCTTGCGAGAAGACGGCCTCGCGCTCTGCTTCTAAGCAGCCGGCTCCGAGACGACGAAGAGTGTGCCGCCTAGAACCAGGTGAGACACCAATGAGTCACTCGTGGGTGGTAGCGGGTCCGTGACAACAACGAGTGCGCCGCCTGGGCGCAGCGCCTGGCCAAAGGGAGGGTAGGTGGGGTTAGCTTCTCCACACACAGTGGCGGGGCAAGGGCCAGGGCAGCCCTCGCGACTCCACGTCTAGAGACGACAGGAGCCCCGCACGGCGTTAAAGTGCGAGGCTCGGTGCGCGTGTGGGTGGGCCGTGAGCCTGGCCAAAGTTGGCGAGCGAACGGGTGAGGTCGCTCGCGTGCTCGAGCGACTCGATCGCCACGATGAGATCGTACGCCGCTTGCTCGAGAGGCGCCTATCAGTTTGTGTTGGAGCGGCAATCTCGTCATGCCGAGACGACTGGGACCGTAAGCCGACGCCTGGAGCGACGCCTCACAGAGCGGCACCGGGAGTCGGTTGCCATAGTCTTAATAAGTGGCTGCTGCTACTATGTCGAACTAGCGAGCGGCGCCTCGTATGACGCCACCACGAAGCGGCACGAGCCGGCAAGGCCCTTGGCGGTGGCGGTGCGGGCAGCGGTGGCGGCTTGAGTGGTGGAGAGCGTGAGGCCGTCGTACGTGGCGGTAACGGCTGCCCCGGCGTCGCCTTGAGCCGCGCGGCGCCGCGCCTCCGCCAGGAAGAAGACGGTGCCGCCCCAGCCACAGCCGGCGTCGAGCACCCGCTCTGGTGCGAGATGCCGGGTGCGGTTCCACAGCAGCCGGTTGGTCACCTGCACGTCGTACGCGCTCCCATTCCACAGCGCCGCGTGCATCGTGTCGTGCGCCCGGTCAGACGACCAGCGCACACGGTTGGTGAATGGAACGAGAGCAGACAGCACGTCATACTTGAGCACGAGCCAGTCGGAGCTGCGGTCACTCATTGGGTTAGCCCAGGTCACTGCACGCTCGATGAGCTCTTCGATTGGCTGTCCAGCCAGCACGGCCGCTAGCAGAGCGGCGCACGCGAGGGCGCCGCGGCGAGCGAGCGGCATGTGTGTGTGATCGGTCGCGGCCCCCGGCGTAGCGGCGAAACCCGGGAGCGGATCGGTACTCGCCACCAGCACTCGTCGCAGACGTCCCCGCGCGGCTTCCGCCGCCCCTGTGAAGAGAGACCAGACCGTTTTGAGTAACCGGCGAAGCCGCCGGTGGCATCTCTTTCCACCCAAGAAGCCCGTTTGGAGGGATGGGCGGCAGTGTGCGGGCGGTGAGTGCTAGTCCTCTCATCAATTTAGAACGAAACGCCCCTCCCTCCCTTCTTCCCTCTACTAGCTGAGGGGCTCGCTAAACGCTCGCCGAGCTCCATGCTGTGCAACACCACCTCCTCACTAATCGTCAGGGGTGCGGAGAGCGCAGTGCACTACGGTGAGGCTGCGCAGCGGGGGCTCGCCCCCTGCACCGCGCTCAGCGGCGTAGGGGAGAGGGCGGTCGGTGGCGGCGGCGGCGAGGCGCGAGGCGGTGGCGGCATGCATGCAAACCAGGAGTCGGCGGAGGTGCGGGCGGCGGGATGACAGGGGAGGCGGCGGGATTGACAGGGGAGGCGGCGGCCACGAGCGGAGCGGCGCGAGAAGGGGGGGGGGGCGGCGGCGAGGCGCCGGTTTGAGCGAGGCGCCCGCGCCATCAGAGGGACGCGCCGCTGCGAGATGGAGGGCGGCGGTGACGGAGGCGAGGCGCGAGGCGGCGGCGGCGGCGGCGGCGGCGGCGGCGGCGGCGGCGGCGGGTCTCGGTGAGCGGCGGCGGGAGGAGGAGCAGCGGCGGTGGGAGGAGGAGCAGCGGCGGCGCTCGCTCGCTGTTGACGGGAGCGCTTTTGAGCCTGGAATCCCATGCCACTGCGACCGGCGTGCCCGGGAACGGAGATCGCGCGCGCGCCGCCACTCACGACGCGCGCGCGATCTTCGCGGAGTCGGGTCCCCAGAGGGAAGCGGTCTTCTCGGCCGACGTCCAGCGGCGCGCAAGGAAGCAGGCGCAGCGGAGGCGGCCTAGCACCGGCTCGGCGCCGGGCGGTTGCGCTGCCCGCGAGCCGCGTCCTGAGCCTCGGCAGCGCGCTGCGCGGCGCGGCGCTCGCGCTGCTTCTGTGCCGAGAGCGGCATGATTCGCCAGCTGAAGCTCCAGACTCCTCGGGTCCGCGAATTGCGCAGGTCACGATTGCCAGGTTGGGGGGAAAATTGGCGTAAGCGTCTGAAAGCAGTCTTGGGTGGTCGAGGGGGGCGATCGATGCCAGCGGGGAAAGGAAAAGGAAAGGGACTGTACATAGCTCAGTCGTCTAGCGGGACCCCACTGGACGCTTCCGAGATGCACTCCCTGACCCTGGTGACGGAGAGGCCGAACTGCGCAATGAGCGCGAAGCAGACAGACAGAGGCTACTGCACAGGCCGAGACGGCAGAGCCTTCGGTGGGCAGGCGCCCGCGTGACGGCGAGCGCGCAGCGTGCGCCGGCGGCGCCGCAGGCGCCGCTGCTGCCGCAGGCGCAGCCGCGCGCGCCTCCTCGATGGTCTTGGTGACGAGCGCGTTGACGCGGGCCTGCGCCGCGGTGAGGTTCTCGATCAGCTTCGGCAGCGGCTCGGCGGGCGCCAGCGACCGTCGCGCCTCCTTGACCGCGCACGTGTAGAAGCCGAGCGCCTGGACGGCCGACTCGAGCGCCTCGTGCGCCTCCGCGTTGAGCGTCTCGTCGTCGATGTGCGACGTCGCGTCGTCCGCGCACTCGCCGTACGCGCCCGGCAGCGTCTGCTGCAGCAGCGAGGTGGCGCCCCGCATGAGCGCGGGCATCTCCGTCGGGCCGGCGACGACGGCGAGCTCGTTGGTGCCGACGAAGCGGAAGTTGTCGTCGATGACACGGCGTTGCTTTTACCACTCGGGCAAACTCGAGATGAAACGGACGGAAAACGCGTCGGCGGCCCCTCTCCGGAGAGCGATGCATGATGCGGCCGGCGCGCCACCGCAGCGCACCAATGGAGGTTGCGCTGCGGCACAATCCACAGGCGCAGCAGCACTGCGAGGCATTCTCCAAGCACACCTCTGAGCAAGAGAGGCCATGCCCAGGGTCAGCCAGGAGAGGGGGCTTTTTCCATCCGTCCACCACTTTTCAGCAACCTTCGCAAATTCTTTTTCCTTCGCGGCAACGCGATGGCGGCAAGGCCTTTTGCGCGCCCGCCCTCGTCACGCAGAAGACCAACGGGCGTCGGACCGCGGTGAGACCGCGCCGCCCTCCGCGCCCGCCCGCGCCCGCAGCGTGAACACATACGCGCGTCCCTCGCCGCACGGAAACATACGCGCCAGCCGCGCACACAGCCTCACATGCAGCGCAGACCGCATGCCCGCGCCCTGGGCCGCCGACGACCCGGTCGGGCGGGCTGCGCGGCCGCCGCACACCATCAGGCAGGCGCACGACCACCCACAGCACGCCGCAGCCCGCCGCGCAGCCCTGCCAGCCAAGCCTGCGCCTCAAAGCTGCACAAACAGGCGCACAACAGAGCACAGCGCACAGCACACACCGGCGGCGCGCGCAGAGCACACGCAGACGCGCGCGCGGACGCAACACGCACACGGTACACAGCAC